CCCGTTCGATAGCTAAGTTGGTTTAGATTCGCCCCAGTAACTATAGTTATAAGATGTTATAAGATGTTATAAGTACCAGAAAACAATAGTTATTGGAGTTATTTGCACCAGCTTAGCTATCGAACGGGGCCTCACATTGTAGGACCCTGAATTCCCAGCCACGTTTTGATTACCGGAGGGTGCTGAGATCTGCGACTGGCCATCAAGTCAGCCACATGGCATGCAGACCTGCGCGGTCGCAGCTTTTCAAAAAAGTGGTCAAGCCGCGCTTTCGGGAAATCTCACGTCAAGCTTCAGAATTCCGTGTGGGTAAACTATCCTAAATTGCTATCAAATCGGTATCGACCGAATCAAACGTGAATTAATACACAATTTAGATTGCTCAATCCACAATCAACCAAAAACCTCCAGACCATTGGAATTTCATCGTTCCAACATATTTTAACCCCTAATTCTAAATATCTAGAGACAAACTAAAACCAAGACTTACACCGAACCCATTGCAATTTGCCTCGAAAGTGCACAATACCACCGCATACCCTCAAAAACAAACCCTAAACTTGCCAATTGAATCGAAATGTTCAAGAGATTGCATTGTTTTTTCTTTTTCCGTCCGTTTTTTTTTCGGGATTCCCCCAGGTTTTTCGTGTTCTTTTCGTGTTCCCCACCATGTATTCCACCCCCCACCTAGATGCAAAGAAGGGTGCAGGAGGGTGATCCTTAAAGACGCCGTGCCAAGGCCTGGGAGCTTCGATCTGATGTTCACCTGGACGTCTTTTTTTCCTTGGGAAAAAAAACACATGAATACGATCATGAACACCACAGTTAAAGTATCCTAAACCACAGTTTTTTGAAATTTACAGTATCTACTATATAACATTATATAACTACTATAGCTATATAGAAACGCATCAAAAACCAGAGTGAAATAGGAGTTATTTGCACCAACTTAACTATCGTAAACGAGGGCCCCACTTTGTAAATTGATTGTGAGTTGTGTTTGGCATGAAGCTTTGCGAATAACATTTGAAAGTCACGTCGAATCAACATCTCATCCCACGGGTTTTGGTGAACTGAATTGGAATGAACATTAAAATCACTATCTGAAGCTGCACGCAAGTCAAACCTCCAGCAAGTTCTCGGTTAGTTCATACGCACATTCTGGATTTTTTTGGGGGAAAACCGCGCCCAACAAAGGATCATTCGATTCCAGGGACCCCAAAAGTGGAAGTAATCTCCCCATGCAAGTCCCTCCGTGGTGAAGAGTTTGTCCAAGAGATTATATCATGATCTCCATGAAATGTTCTTGATACGTATAAAAAGAAACAGCAAACCGGGGAACAAAAGTGGAGATTCCTAGCACAAAAATGGGGAACAACAATATCACTACTTGGATGGTTCCAATCCAATCAGATCTGGCTACGCACAAAAAAAGGCGCGTCGCCAACATGGGATGCTTTACATCGCCGGGCTTCAGATTTTGATCCTATTGAGTACAGCCCGAGAATCTGACATGAACAAACATGATGACTTTGAACATCTTTGAACTACAGCATTGAACACAGATATATATATGTGTGTTCCAACAAGAGTTTTAGGAGCTTCATGTTTCTTGTTTAGTGACTGTTTTTTTCCCCATGTTTATCTATGTTGACCGTGATGACCGAGCTCGGTGTCCCGGGCGGATCGATGACGGTCAGGAAGAAATCCCGCTGGTACTTGGGAGCCAAGTCTTCCTGAGGCAAAGGAAGCTGACCTGTTTCCATGATATGAATACTATGATGTTAATGCACGTTAATGCATGTTAATGGATGTTAATTGATGTTAATGGAATGATATGGATCTGCTGTTAGCTATTATTATGTATGTATATATATATATGTCAAAGATATCCATATAGTATATAGTGGGATATCGGGTGGGATATCGAGTGGGATATATAGTGGGATATATGATATATCTGGCTGAAATATAATCATTCACTAACCTGGAAAATAGCGGAAAGGGAACATCCGACGGGACATGATATAACGAGATATATAAAATATCTCGTGACCCAGCCATCGGAACCAGCTCACTCATTTTCACTTGTGGATTTGTGATGATGAAATTGCAAGCAGCAATGTAGGGTACCCTCTAGTAATTTGTTGCATAGCTATTGAAAATGACCATAGAAATAGTGCAACAACTATTTGCTGCAGCCATATCTTTGGAGTTCTGACCCCATCATCGTCCACAACCGTGGACAACACAACACAACAACTGGTTGGTGGTGCAATGTGCCCATCTTGAAAAATGATGGAGTTCGTCAATGGGAAGGACGACAACCCATATATGAAACGGAAAAGAAAATTCATGTTTGAAACCACCAACCAGACAACATTTCGTCCACACCTGTGGACCATGGCATCCCATGGCTGATCATTGGCTTGAAATCTCCGGGGAAAAAATGTTTTTCCACAGGTGGCGTTGTCCAGTTGTCCCAGTTGTCTATTCCAGGTCATCATCGAAGCAGAATTAGGAAAATAACTTGCTATGTGCTATCAATGAGTTTACAACGTTTACAACCACAAATTAACTTGGTTTGATTCTTACCATTAGACAAAAATTATGAAGTCATGTGCGTTGAACAATTCCCACACATCTTTGGGCCCACAGTCATTACGAAATCGCTAAATCGGTGAAAGTAACTCCAACTTCAGTGTTTATGATATACTTACAACTATAGTTAAGTATAGTTAATGACTCTTCTTGGAATATATACAAACCAACATTCACATCAACTAACACAGGATGGGGCCTAGATAGCTAAGTTGGTGCAAATAACTATAATAACAACTTGGTGCATGATACTTAGAACATCTTAGAACTATATTTCGATGGGGTTTGACTATAATATCAAGTTGGTGTATGATACTTATAACATCTTAAGTTGGTTTATGACTATAATAACATATAATAACAATAGTGTATGATACTTATCACACTATATTTACTTGGGGTATGTTGGGGTTCTGTTCACCAACAAACATAACTCACATTTTTGGGCCCCATCCAGCGCCCATCTCTGAGGACTCGCACCAAGGACTCCTTGGCGCTGGCGTTGCGGCGATCCAGGCGGAAGCACAGCCGCCATTTCGGGCGCTTCGGACCTCAGAGAGGGACGGCAACGTCGCCATGGACTTTTTAAGGTGCCCATTGCAATGAAAGTACCTATATAAGTGTGCTTGTAATGATATATATATATATATATTATACATATATATATATTATTATTGAAATTGCTTATATGTTGTTTTGTTCTAAAGTGGAATTTGCCTATTTGGATATTTAAGCATCAACAAAATCATGGTGTGAGATCATTTTATGATTATGTAAATGATTTGGATGCATTTTATATATATAACTATGTCCTACTGTTGCGACGATTTGTTCAATTTGGGGATGCAATATAGACCTCCTGACCACTCGCGGATATATATATATATATATATATACATACAAACAAAAACCAGCGGTGTCCCTACGTTCGGTGGTGCCCCAGTTCGGAATCGCTTAGTTTGTTTATAGGTAATCGTATAAGGCTTTATGGATCTTTTGATAGATAAGTTGAGACTAGTTTTTGGAAGATGTGTATACACAATATACTATTAGTTTATTGGGGATTATATAAACCGCTAAACATTTCAATAGAGACACCACCTTGTACCTAGTACTCACGCAGCCTTGGTGTTGTGGCCCCAGTTCCACCCCGGGGCACTTGGACAATGTTCCAACTTTTCCCAATCCAAAGGGGCTTGTCTTTGGTAAAATATCCCCAGTAGATCTTAGTACACGTAGAGGTTAAAACACGTGTACTAAGCCCTTATCAGTTGTAGTCTATAGCGGTTATAAATGTTATAAATGGGGTTATCATATCTTATCATATCTTATCATTCCATAATGGGGTCATGACCGACTTATAACTGGTAAAGGGCCATAACTGTAGCGAGGAGCTTCCAGCCACATTAGCCACCCCTGAGTTGCGCACGCGCTTCCTCGCCCTTCTTTTGCTCGGCCTTCCTGGGAAAATGTTGGGATCGGCCTTCAAAACCTCTAAAAGTCACTTTATTAAAACAAAACAACATATACTGGTCGGTGGTTGACCTCTGAAAAATATGAGTTTGTCAATTGGGATGATGACATTCCCAATATATGGGAAAAATAAAAATGTTCCAAACCACCAACCAGTATATATTGGGGGATGAACATCCATTTTCCAGCGATTTTGGTGTTCACCGAGCTTTTGATGGGTTTTCGAACCAGGCAAAAAAGTTGCAACGCAACGTTTCTCGTGCAACGCGAGAACATCATCACTCGTGCAATCTCCAAGCATCAGACCCAAACGACAAGGAACCTGACGCTGCCCAAAAAGACTTTTCCTAAAAGGTATGACTTCCAACGTGACAAAAAAAACCTGGGGTGATTGCCCTCAAAACAGATGATTTACCACACATCCGGTCTCCCAAGCACACCATGGATCCACGATGATCCACGCCACACTGTTCCGCTTCCCAATTTTTCTGTCGCGCAAGAGGCTCTGAAAATTCTGCGGAAAATGGCGGAAAACGATGTGACCATGTCACTGATTGCTGCTCAAATGGAACCAATTGAAGCACAAAAGCCTATACAACGATACATTTACCAGTGACCAAGACAGTAGTGCAATGGTTAGTGGTCACAACACCTCAAGCTCATGACAACTGATACACATGGGGAGGTTGATCCAGACCATCTTAAACACAAAACAGCTCAGCACCAACAAAAACCATCAAATAAAAGTGTTTAGCAACAAACATCAATAAAATCAATATTAAACACAGCTAAAATGAACCAAACACCAAGTTCTACCCGTTCCAGCATGGTTTTTAAAGTTATATCAGTTATCCCAAGATATCCTAAGAACAACACCTCATCTCAAAGCATCAACGGCTATCATGACTCCATGACATTGCCACCTCTCAGCTGGAGAGCTTGCGAACCACCTCTGCCAGGTGGCCACGCAGGAGCTTCGCTGCGGGCATGGAGAGATCACGTGGAGAGCCCACCTGGGCGAGCGTCGATGGGGAAAATCCCATGGGAAAACCCATGGGAAAATCGAGGGAAGAAAAAAACAGCAGAAGTGAAGCCATTCTAATACAATGTGGGCTCTTCTCAGCCATAAGCTGGTAAACCAGATTAACATACGTAGATTAACTATAAGTTTCATAAACATTCATAAACCAGCTAATTCTTGGAATTATAAACCAACTTAGCTATCGTAAACGGGGGCCCTACATTGATGGGACAAGCCATGAATCGGGAACTTACCTCCAAGTATTGATTCCTACCTTCGGTGCCGTGACAATCATGGGGATTGCTGGTTGAAAATTGTTAGCCAAGTTGGTGTAGTTAATGAAACTGTTGGGCTTATGGTAGATGTAGATGTGCCAAAACAAAACTGGAATCCCCTGCGCAGAAATTTACATGACATGTTCTTCAGCACACCGAAAAAAAACATGAATGCGGATTGTTTACCATCAAACATCTGCAGATCAACCACTGTATGATAAACGATGATAATTAATGGTTCGCAATTAGTTTCCTGTTATGTGAAGGTTGATGATATCATCCAACTATCATTGATGCAATTATAGAATATCTAGGCCCAGTGCATCAAGAACAGATTGCGAAAAACAAGCCACTGGCCGCACAACAAAACAATATGTGGTTTCGGTCCCCTGAATTGGGGGGTTGTTTGACCATCCATCCATCCATCCATCCTCTACTTTTGGTGTAAAATTAAACCACCACAACAAATAGAGAAGCAACGATTTACTTACAAAACAAATGTCATTAGAATTTCCATATCATCATCTTCCAGTTACCGTCTTGTCAGATAGATAACCAGCCCAAAATCGGTAAAATCACCCTGGCTACCTACCTGGCAACTGGGGCTACCTATCGTGGTGCCCCAAGGGCGTTTCAAGTGTTTTTTTTGTGTACGGATTACGCATCTCCACTAAGTTCGATGCTAACGAACTAGGGTCTAGTGACTAGGACACCATCAAACGTCTGGTTGGTGGTTTTTCGCCACCCCTCTGAAAAATATGAGTTTGTCAATTGGGATGATTATTTCCAATATATGGAAAAATAGAAAATGTTCCAAACCACCAACCAGTTGTACAAGTAGGGATAGTGAACACTCCCCTTTCTCTCCTTTTTTCTGCTGAAAGCTGAAGATTTCATCCACAGGCCAAGGCACGCGATCACGCAGGTAGGCAATGCACTCCGCCACCGTTGCCAGATCGCTACTGGCCAGCTGCGTCTCCGAAGTCACAGCGGCTTTCACATTCTGCCTGGGTGACAGGGGCAACACGTATAAGAGCGATGGGAAGCTACCGTCTATGTATATTCTATTTATACAATAACTTCTTCCCAATATAACATAAGCTCCTAAAACCAATGGATAGTATTGATGGGATCTATTTATTTCACTTGCCTTACTATTGGGGGCGTTTGACTCAAAGGGAGGGGACTATGTATATACAGCAATAAATATGATCATAATATAATATAATATCACCTGCAGTTATTTACCGCTTATGCAGTCTTAATAATTTTGAAGCACTTTAAATTTAAATTTTTGGCATGCATGTCCAAGCACCCCGCAGGTTATCGAGCAGTGAGATCGGTAAACATTAAATTACAATCATTTAGATTTACGATAGTAACTAGATGTACTAGTAACTATGATAATACTCTGCAGCTCCCGTTGCAGCCCCCTTGCGAACCAGTGACGTGAAGGAAGGGTCGCCTTGCAACAAGGAGCTTGCCACTGCTCGCAATGCCACGTTGACGGCTGGCGCAACGTCCAAGTTGGGCCTGTCACGGCTGGAGGGTCGCCTTCCGGATCCTTCCGGCCACGTCACCCATCCCCGGTGTCAAAAACTCCACATCCGCTGCACCTTGCGTAAGGATCGCTAAGCTGACCTCGGTGTAATGCACAGCTGAGTCGAGGGATTTGACCCATTTGACCCGCAGGATCTGGGGGGATCTGGCGAATCAAACATCAACAGGCCCTCCAGTAATCAAACATGGCTGGGAAATCCCGCGCCCATCAATACTTCCATTTCTACAAGATAGGCGATTTTCCAGCTAGCCATGTTGGATTACCGGAGGGTACATTGTTTTTGCCACCAAAATTGGTAATCGAAGGAAGTTTAGAAGTCAAACTTCCGACAATATGGACAGATGAAAAGCAGAGATGGGAAGAGTCAGAGAGAAGAGAAGAGTCAGAGAGAAGAGAAGAGAAGAGTAGAAGAGAGAAGATCAGAGAAGAGAAAGAGTCAGAAGAAAGAATATGCAGATGCGCGAAAAGGATCGAAAAGGTAGGAAAGTCGCGAAACACTGTGTTTTTCCAATGATTTGTGGCTCCAGAGGGTCGAAAAGTAGGCTCGCTAAGGCGGCGGGTGCGGAACCATCTGCCAGATGAGAGATGAAAAATTGCACGCCGTTGTGGCGCGAAGCACATTTCGATGTCAAAACGCACAAAGCACACCACGTACGGACCACTTTTGGACGTTCAGAGCTCGTTTCGCGTGGCAGGCGCAAGGGATTGTGCACCCTGTCAAAAGTGAGCAAAACGTGAGGGTTTTGTAGCATTTCCAAAAACAATGGCAGGCGTGGGACATTTGAAGAGGATCTTCAAAGATGCATTTCGCGTGGCAGGCGCACTACAAAAGACATGTTCATCAGAGATGTTAGGACGTCAGGGCGCTGATTTCCTGAGAGGGGTTGCATTTTGGAGCATCAGATCTTCAGGTTTGCTGAGATGATTTTGCGTGACAAGTGCAGCACTTCGTATGACCTGGCATCACTTTTTCGTGGCAGGCGCAGTACTTTAGACAGGTGGAGTGGAAAAATCGCAAAACGCATTGGTACGAGGCCGTCAGCTCTGCATTCAACTTTCCATGTTTGAAGGAAGTCTCGCAGAATTGCTTGGTTTTTGATGTTGTCAAGTTCAAAAAAAATGAAGAAGTCTCGCAGACTTGCTTCGTTTTAGATGTTGTCAAGTTCAGAAAATGAGGAAGTCTCGCAGAATTACTTTGTTTTTGATGTTGTCAACTTCGAAAAATGAGGAAGTCTCGCAGAATTACTTCATTTTTGATGTTGTCAACTTCGAAAAAATGAGGAAGTCTCGCAGAATTGCTTCGTTTTTGATGTTGTCAACTTTAAACAATGAGGAAGTCACGCAGAATTGCTGCGTTTTTGATGTTGTTGTCAACTCTTAAAAATGAAGAAGTCTCGCAGAATAGCTAGGTTTTCAAGCTTGCAGATAGACAGGTAGATAGATAGATAGATAGAAAGATAGATTAGAAAGATGAGAGAGATTAGATAGATAGATAGATAGATAGAAAAGATTAGATAGATAAGATTAGATAGATAAGATTAGATAGATAAGATTAGATAGATAAGATTAGATAGATAAATAGATAGATAGATAGATAGATAAATAGATAGATAGATAGACAGACAGATAGATAGATAGATAGATCCATAGATAGATAGATAGATAGATAGATAGATAGACAGACAGACAGATAGATAGATAGATAAGATTAGATAGAAAAGATTAGATAGAAAATATTAGATAGATAAGATTAGATAGATAAGATTAGATAGATAAGATTAGATAGATAAGATTAGATAGATAAGATTAGATAGATAAGTTTAGATAGATAAGATTAGATAGATAAAATTAGATAGATAAGATTAGTTAGTTAGATAGATAGATAGTTAGGTAGATAGATAGATATATAGTTAGTTAGATAGATAGATAGGTAGGTAGATAGATCGATAGATAGATAAGATTAGATAGATAAGATTAGATAGATAAGATTAGATAGATAAGATTAGATAGATAAAATTAGATAGATAAGATTAGTTAGTTAGATAGATAGATAGTTAGGTAAATAGATAGATATATAGTTAGATAGATAGATAGATAGATAGATAGGTAGATAGATCGATAGATAGATAGATAGATAAGATTAGATAGATAAGATTAGTTAGTTAGTTAGTTAGATAGATAGATAGATAAGAGAATATAAGATAAGATAAGATAAGATAGATAGATAAGATTAGATAGATAAGATTAGATAGATAAGATTAGATAGATACGATTAGATCGATAAGATTAGATAGATAAGATTAGATAGGTAAGATTAGATAGATAAGATTAGATAGATAAGATTAGATAGATACAATTAGATAGATAAGATTAGTTAGTTAGATAGATAGATAGCTAGATAGATAGACGATAGATAGTTAGATAGATAGATAGATAGATAGGTAGATAGATAGATAGATCGGCAGGTAGGTAGGTATATAATCAGAGAAAGAGAGGGAAAGAGAGAGACAAAGAGATAAAGAGAGGAGACCTCAACCACCTTGCGGTCCATCAGTGGCTTCGCTCTGCCATCCGTGATGCACAACAACCAACCTCTCCTATAGGTTTCCTATTTTTGAAACTTCCGCCACCGCCTTTTGCGGTACTACTGGTATATGAAACATTTAGAAGCACTATTTGGAGAAGCCTGAGGTAAATTCTGCTAATAGCTGGGTACATTCAATTAAGGGATCAGAGATCAAACTGAAGTTGGTAAACAAGTAGAAAGCTGGTATCCTGAAACATATAAAATACTGCAATAAGGGACTTCTAGACAAAACCAGGGATCCAGCGAGATATCTAGCACTAGTAGAAGGAGGAAGGGATCGATTGATATCATATATCACAAATAAACACATGCAACTATTGTAAGACCATCACCAGGACAGAACCTTTTCTTGCTGATCCTCCACACCATGTCTTGTTTATGCTTATCTAAGGATTGATTTGCGTATGAGAACAGGTGGGCAGACTTCTTCATTGGTCATGAGTTTCCCCAGAGGATATGACCATGTTGCCTGATTCAAGGCACGCGCATATTCTGCAGTTTCATGATGTCCTGCAAATGACCCTCTAAATGGCATCTAAAAGCCTCTACATTTAGAGATTAGTCTGGCCATTTGGTCCTCGAAACTCCCGAAAAAGATGTAACACCAACCTCCAAACCATTCAATTTTGAGGGCTACGACCACATTTTGAGCCAATCCCATCTGGACTCTCTTTAATGATTTATGGAATCAAAGGGAACCACAGTACCAAGGTACACTTCGTGGGATTACCACGCGCCCATTTGCCCACATCTTTTCCAGCAGCACGGCAGCAAAAGCGCGTAATGGCCTATACAGCGCCGGTCGTGCGCTAAAAACAACAAATCACAACTGGTTGGGGATTGAGCCACAAAAAACATGAAAACAAAAAACGAATTACGAGTACTTTAGTATCATCATTCCAGTTTTAGGGGTGGAGACGGAACAGCAAAAAAAAACATATAGCTAGTACATATCACCTGTTCCATCCAAAGGTGAAGACGATGAAAGTACGAAAGTCATCTAAAATAACATATCTAGGCTTTAACCATCTTGAAAAATATGAGTTCGTCAATGGGAAGGATGACATCCCATATATGATGGAAAATAATGGCGCCATGTTTGAAACCACCCAGATTACAGCTGGTGTAACACATGCAGCTGGTTTTCCAAAGGATTCCAAACATCCCAACAGCTGCGAGAAAAGCGCCTCCTGATTCTCAGTGAGTCTCATGCCGGCCTCAATGCAATAGTCCTGCCGTATGGGATTTCACCATGGGAGATATGGGGATTTTGGGGAATGACCATGGAATATCGTTGTATATTTAGCAAAGTGGATGTATTAAACCCCCCTAGGTGGTATACCTACCCCCCTGAAACATGGAGTGAAAGTGAGATTGGATCATCAACCGATCATCAACCCAACTATTGGGGAAAATAAAACATGTTCCAAACCACCAACCACTATAGATCTATATAATTCTATATAGATCTACTGTAGATCTACTGTAGCTGATGGATTTATGCTGGATGTCTCTGGCTGGAAGAACCTTGGAGGACACTGCCGCTGAACAATCCCCGTGGCAAACGCTGTGGGATCTCCTAAGGGATTGATGACCCCCAACATGGGTACCCGGCCTGGTAAACATACAAAAAGCTATTGAAAATGGTGATTTATAGTGGATTTACCCATTAAAATGGTGATTTTCCATAGCTATGTTAGTTTACCAGAGGGTATTGCTTCCAACTTTTCACCATGGCACAGTATGGCTAGCTCCATTGATGAACCCGAAAAACAGGCCCGTGTCTTTCCAACAGAAGCCATCTCCAAAAAAAGCAATGTGTGCATTGAGAACGGAGTCTAGTATCATAGATCATTTATGTAGAATTTTAAAAGCAAGGGACAATGTGTACAGCTGTACAGCTGACAATTTTGGAAGAATCAGGGACGATTTATTCTTGTACGAACGAAATTAAATGTCTTCAAGAATCTTCAAGGCATTTCCAAGCATGATGTGCGTCCACCAGCCTTCACAACTTGCCTAACAGCCGAATTTCACTGGTTGTTTCAAGCAGGATGACTGGCTTTACTTTTATGGTCGTCATGTGGAGTCTCACAAACGTCAAGAATAACGCATTTCGATGCTGTTCACAAGGGTGGGCGGCTCAAAATCGAGGCATCAATAACACAGAAAATTGATCATGTAAAGTAGTCCCTTCCCCCTAAACTTATACCACCCAGAAAGCAGAAACTCCTGCTGTATTAGTGTTGCATCTATTCATTGGGGATGGGTGGTATTCACATTTCAAGAAGGTTCAACCATATTAAACACCAATTCTTGATGGTCAAGCTGTTTAACCGATGTGATTTTAGGGGAAATGGAAGAAATGGAATTATTTACCAAACTGGATCACCATCATTATAAACCAACTATACCAAACTTCACAACTTTCCCCATCTTCCCCTCATGTTTCATGCTCATCCATCGTCTTATTCATCGTCCCATGTTCATCCATGGATTCATCCCATGGTCGTCCCATGGCGTCCTGCTCGTCGCGCTGTGCTTGCGCCACAGTGGGCGGCTCCAGCTCGTTCTTCCACTGCACTGGCAACGAGACGTTCTTAGGGTCGATGGCCTCCTGACAAGAAACTGCCAGATTTTGGGGACAAAACAGGGGAGGTGGAACTACAATGGGGATACATATTTTGGGATCTAATAATCTGGAATATCATGGGGTACATAATAGGATAGATATATATATATATATACACATAGGTGAGATAATGGGATCTAATGGGATGTAAATTACAAACAATATCATGGTGCACCACTTGGCATACAATTGGATGAGCCGGGCCGGCGAGTGAAGTAACACTGATGGCCCGAAATACTAATGATTTTGTATGGCTGTTGAAACGGGGTTAACACGAAGCAGCATGAATGGGGTTGGTTGCCAAATGAACAAATGCCCGTTTAGTTTCAGTAGATTGATTTACCTATTAAAATGCTGATTGTCCATAGCAAGTTGTTGAATTATCAAAGGATACTATACGTACCCTCTGGTAAACTAACATAACTATGGAAATCACCATTTTCAATGGGAAAAAACCCACTATAAATGACAATTTTCAATAGCTATGTTAGTTTACCAGAGGGTAAGCGTATGTTCCAACTATCTCAATGTGTTTCAAGCATGGCGTTTCGTTCAACCATATGGAGGTTTCCTGAAAAGAGGGCTACCCCACATCATCCCAAAATCGACTAACTGAGTATTGAAACGAATGGTTTTGGGGATCCTCTACTTGGGGTTATACATATATATATATATATATGGATGATATTATATAAGTTAAATATATACATATATATATACTAACGATATATATAACTCTACATATAAATATATAACTCTATATATAACTCTATATATATATAACAAGATAGATATATATATATATATACATACTGTATTACTGTATATGATTATATTATGTACATACATTATAAGCCAGTTACTAAGTGGGGCCCGTACACCCACAGTTGTGTTTCAACCAAATGATCAAAGCTTCAGCCGGCCAAGACACCCGAGCACGCACAGCGGTGGCCTCGCGGCGAAAGGTGGGCAGTTGGGCATTCCAATGGGAATTCACCTTGAAAAATCCATGGGAAAATATGGGATTTACCCTCTGGTTATTTCTTGCATAGCCATGGAAAATCACCATTTTCAATAGGTAAACCATCTATTTCTATGGACCATCTATACCATGGCTATGTTAAATATGTTAGTCATAACCAGAGGGTACCCAGAATTCACCCAGAAATCACATTGAAAAATCCATGGGGAAAATCTTGGGATTGATGGGGAATTTACCCAGAAAGAACATGACGAACACTACTTTACACCAGAGAACAGGAGGATCATCAGATGCAAAAAGTAGCTGGTTAGGAACCAGAGTTCTTGTGGGACAGCCAAGTTGCCGGACATACTAACCAGGCTTTCAATAGTTAGTAAGTTGCGGTAATCTTTCAAGTGCGAATTTAAGCTGGTGTGCTGGAAAACCCCTGAACACCTCTACATATTCGAAATATCTGGTGATGTAGCCATTCACCATGAACAAGTCTAAATTTCTCAACTGTTTATACATTTTCAGATGTACTAAGCCTCATTCCAACGACTGTGTACAGCAGGATCCACCCCCTGAGAAGCCACGCGCTGTCGTTGGAAAAGCAGGGACCGTACTGAGGGGGAATATCCATACCTTGGTCGCAGTGAACGCCTGAGATCCCCCAGAAAGCCCCGTTTAAAATGGCATGGGACACCCGAATTAAAAACATGGCAACAGTAAAGGTCACTGGACGCTGTTGGGTTTATCACAGTACTTAAGGATTGCATTCCAAAACAAAATAACAACATCAACGTACTTTACTCTTTTGTTAGAATTGAATATATATATATATGTATATATATATATCCTCCAACAAGAATTAATTTCAAAAGTGTGAGCCGTTTAGGACCAGCAAAATCCGCACATGCCTGGCATGCCTTGTGCTTGGTATTTGCAGCCAACAAGAATGCAGTCAAAGGACGTCAAAGGTTCATAACAATTGCAGTATAGTGGTTTTGATGATGCCAGTTGAAAGGAACACTTGTTGAATATTTCGAGGACTGCAGGATGATTGCAGTGGTCCCGAACTGAATGGAATCATGCACGTAGCCATCGTGCAGCGTTCCCTCTGACCAAAGCTAGGACATTTGATTGCAGATTCTGTGGCACCTAATGATTAATGAGGTCTGGAATCTTATTGTTAGGTACACTTGGATAATCTATGTAGAAGACTGGATTCATTCCACTTTATTTGTGGCCAATTCAAGGTGGGAAAAAACAAGATGATTTCACCAATGTATCGTACATTCATATGTAATCCAGTATTGGTGAGGACTGGTGAAAGGTGTTGTTTAAAGACATGTTCACTCTGTTCATGTAAAAACCGTTTGTTCAGCTTTAGTGCAAAAGCTGCTCCGAATCACATCGGTATGCAGCAAACTATGCATGTTATTCACGAAATATCCAACAGTTGGCTTAAATGGATTAACATCTGGTAAACTAACATAACTATGGAAAATCACAATTCTTAATGGGAAAATCCACTATAAATGGCAATGTTCAATAGCTATGTAACAAATGACCAGAGGGTACTTCACATTTCTCCATTTCTCCACTTTCATTTGATTCTGAGACGACGTCCACGACTTCCACCTGTCCTTGGTGTTTCACCACACCAGGTTCGGATTGGATTGGTGTCAGGGAAAATCTTCACCGGAAACCATGGTTGTTACCATGAAATTGGTTGGGTGTTCCTGCAAAAATGTTCCCTTCAACCAAATTGATTGAGTCACAATTTTTCTTCACCGTGTTCATAATCCCCCATATATTGGGTAGTATAATCCCTGAACTGATCCAGTGACAGGTTGCAGTGCGTGTAGTAGTCGCTTTTGCTCGCCATGTAATGAGGCAATTCTTCATAGGCTGAAAGCCTGGACGAACTCCGCCGATGGAAGAAATAAAAATGTGACTTGAGATGAAGCGGTTTATGGAGGAATGAAAAAAAATATGTTTAAAAAAACATATATATATATATAATAATCTAATATACAATAACGTATAATGTATATAAATATTGAACTAATATGAGCTGTTTTTAGTTCATAGGTATTATAAACAAACAGAACTTAGGTTCACAGTATGTCATGGTTGACAGTTGGGTTCGTGGTGGTTACCGCCTTGTGGAACTCCAACGAAGCAGAAATAAATTATGGCGTCATCTTGCAAGTGGGGCCCCAAAATACAAATTGGTGTATAAAGTATAACCCCCATGAAAACTATAGCTATAAGATGCTATAAGTATCATAAACCATACAGGTATTGGAGTGATAAACTAACTCAGCAATTTCGTTTACGGGTGCCCCACATTGTACATACCAAATTGCTTCTTTGCGGAAACCACCATTTTGTTCCGATCGTTTGGGGGTTCCAGGAACAGGATACTGTGTCACTTGGATACAAACAAATGATTTGGTTGTGCTATGCTCACAACATTAGATTCATGGTTGATGATCATCCATCCGACAATGAGAATCCGAATCCGAATAAACATTATATGAATCCCTATTAGTGGACTGATGATGATCATCCCCCAATATGGGTAATTACTCAGCGACTTTTTCACCTGGCACGTATTGTGTTTTGGACATTTCCATGTTTTGGCTCCATCTCAAGTTTCATGTAAGCCAATGGATAAACAATATGGTCATGGAATTGGGTGTGAAAACACGATCAATGTGGGCCCCTCCAGTTGTAAGTTGGTTTATGTTTACCCGACAACATGCACCTATATCAAAAATAAACCACATCTAATCTGGTTTTAAACGAACTTACCTACCTATTTGGGGGACAAATTTTTCAGAAACTTGCAGATTTCATCATCAGCAGGACCAAGCCGCCATTTGTCGATGTTTGGAAACTTCTTCCGAATGTCGTAGCCCTTGTAGTACCTCAATACGGTCAGAACCAAACATGCCAAGCATGTACGGAAATCAGCAGAAATGAACATATGTAGCTCATTTATATTCAAGTCTTGTTTGGTGCAAAGAGTGATGACCAGCAATCATATGGTTATGGGTCAAAATTATGGTGCCCTAGGTAGTCTAAAATAGCTGGTATGGCTTAGCTGCATCCGCCAATCAGGACCCAATTTTTTATGGCCATGACTATAGCGGCATCCCTACTTGGGGCTGCGGGCCCCACTTAGTAAATATAGTTTAGAATCATAATCCATTAGTCTAACCCATATTTCATCCCATATTTTTGAAAAAACATGGATAGTCCATTAATCATTAATCATTGATCATTAATCATTAATCTGGGTAAATTATCATATTTCACTAACCTGAATAGTGCGGCCATTGGGGGGTGATTCCTCTTATTAACCATGATTCCAGGGCTCGGTCGCGACGTGAGGTCGTTATAATTTACCCAGATTAATCCAATTAATAGGGAATGTTCATACAAAAAACTATGGAAAATCACCATTGTTCATGGGAAAATCCACTATAAATGGCTATTAATAATGGTTAATAATGGGATTACCCTCTGGTTATGGATATTCCATGAATCATTTCATTAAGCCGGCGAATCAGTGCCAGTGCCGCAGGGTCACATGGCGCTGGCCACCGCTCTCTCCACGTGGGACACGTACTGCATGTCCACGATCGTTGGATGCGGATAGGGCAAGAAGAAGGCCGACTCCTGGAAGCCGAGTCACAAATCAAATGAGATTCAGGTGATATGAGGTGATCAATGATCATCAATGATTTTTAATGGTGATTAATGATGGATACTATTAATGCTTATTCATTGGACTAATGATGATTAATGATGGATAATATTAACGGATATTAGTGGGATTAATGATGATTCATGTGGGTAACAATGATAAACCACCCCATGTTTGATGGTTTATACCACCTATTTATGGTGAATTTGGGGATGGTTGATTGTGTTAACCACATTATATAGTTTATAAGTTTATAATAATCAATTCTGACCATATATAATCATATGTATGTTTACATATTATATATATATATACATATATTGTTATATTCAGTTCTTTTATTACCAAAAACCCTGGGAACATATTAGTCAGCTAAAACGAGCTTAGCGAACTGGGCAGCACCTTGTGGAGCCGTGAAAATTTCTATGGCGACCCGAAACCAAAATGGCCTGCCCGAAAAAAGGGACCCGAAACCAAGCCTAAATATGCCCCAAACCAACGCTAAAATGATTTGTATATATGTATATAATATATATATATATTATGAAATAAATGATGACATCTATATAAGTTTATGTGATTTCTTGGCTAAAAATTTGATAGTAAGTTCGATATCCCGAAATACCCCGCCATCCTCGACCCCCAAAGGCCCGGAGTTCAGTCACCCTTCGCCACCGGCTGCGTAGAGGGTGACTGACTCCGTCTAGTCTCAAGACTAACTCCTGGTAAACATACAAACAACTAGCACCATTTTTAATGAGTAAATCGACTATAAATGGGCTACTTTCAATAGCAAACTGTTAGTTTACCAGATGGTATTGAACTGGAGAAAATGCAACAATTCAACAACCTGATTCAAGGAAACCCACACATTTTGGGACAAATTATATATTCGAGTGACGTCGCTTAAATAAAACAAATTGCTCAAATGACCCTTAAACCATCTTAAACCTTCGTTATTGTCAATAATTGTCATAGCTTGATCCTGAATTTCATGGGTTCCAGTTCCAGCCATTTTTTCGGGGTCAGCCCCTTTCGCGGCGCGGCGTTTTTCCAGGTCGCCGTGTTGGCACCCAGTTCGCTGTCCACGCGTTGCAGGGCATCCGTGAAGTCCGCCTCGCTGCCGCCGATGAACGGCATCTCTGGTCCTTGGAAACGGCGCAGCTTCGCCGGATACGGGCCGGGGATATTTTTGAATCGACTATAGTAACCCCTTCAAAGTAGATAGAACAAAATAGAACAAGTGATGGATCACTGTTGAAAAATAGGAATTTAGATGATGTTACCAAAATTTCGGAGGTTACTATGGTGGAATTGAGAGGATTGAATGGTGCATTCTGCTATATTTTTTGATTAACGGTTTACCGCTCATTTTTTAAAGGTGACGCTGGTTGGTTTAGTTCACACTATAAGTAGGGGTATAGTAGATATATCGAAGTATTTAGGTGCTGCACGGTCATCCCATGTCACCAGTATAACAAGTATATATGCAAATGGACTGATGACCATGCCCTATGGGGAAACAATTGAAAGTAGACCGTGTTTTTTACTATGGCATATCTCACAAAAGGGTTTCTTTTTGTAGTCACCACTTATCTAGTGAATTCTCAAATGGATGTTCATGCATTTAAATATATTTACACATGTTTAGACCTATTCAAACAATGTCTAAAGATCTACCCCAGCTGGATTAGTTGCTTTATTTTTTCACAGACCAACCAATAGAGTTGTGGTGGCGGATGTATCGCTAGCTAGATTCTTATCTTGAAGGTTTTTCAAAAAATGGCTTTGTCCACCAATGGGGGGATCCATGGAGATCCCCTAAAGTTACATATTTCAACGGGTACCATGATGATGATGATGATGATGATGATGATGATGATGATATATATATATATAACATCGGAATTCCGGGTACCCTATTTTCGGACAAACCAATATGTGCAACACCCAACGAACTTTTGCATCTGGATTGGTGTTGACTTATCATGACTTATCCCATCTTATCCCATTTTTAAGCGGGTTATAACATTCATTGACTAACCGTATACATATATTCTATGTATACATGCATACATACGTATACATGTATATATATATGTAAATATAAATATATATGTATTTATATATATACACATATGTATGTATATATGTATGTATATATGTGAATGTATGATGAATAATTAATCACATAACTGTCCTGACATTAACTCTGACATTAACTATGGTTTAAAACTTCACCATAGCTATACTGAATGGGATAAGATGTTCCAGGCATGTTCAGCCCCCCAGGAGTTCTTTTATCATCCCGTGGCCCAACAAGATCGCCAAGCCGCTGAAGAGATAGGAACACCAGGCACCAAAGAGCTCTCGCTCCAGGTTCAGTAGTCCTGCGGCGCGGTCGCGCAGCTCGCCGGACATGGGGAACCTCGGCCCAACATGGCAAGTTGGAAAAAGGAAGCCTGCAATGTGAGGCTCCCTAGATAGCTAAGTTGGCTTATAACTCCAATAGCTATGGTTTATGATATTTATAACTATAGTTACTAGGGCTTATAAACCAACTTATAACTGGGGGGCCTCACATTGTGGTCATGTTACCTGAACTTGCGGATCATCATTTTTAAGAGGTAGAGAAATAACTTAGATATAAGTGGTTTATGTACCTAGGCTATAGTTTTTATGATGGATATATCTACACTGATTTGGTGGGTGAAAATAAAACAAACTATGGAGGTACAATGTGGCCCCCCTAAATAGCTAAGTTGGTTTATAACTCGAAACACTACGGCTTATGATACTCTTATAATTTAGAACTATAGTAAATGGATGTTAAAGGGGTTACAGTTATGGCCATTTATTAGTTATAACTGGTTATAAATGGGGTTATACATTCTATAAATGGGGTTATAACTACTTATAACTGGTAAAGGGCCATAACTGTACAAACCAACTTGTAACATCTTACAACTGGGGGTCCCCACACTGTAGAACTTACAAATACGTGGGAGCTGCGTCGTGGGAGGTACATCCTGAAAGAACGCACAACATATCTGCTTGGTTTAGGTGGAAGTCATTTTTAAAGACTCGTATCTGGATTTTAGCACACATATATTGATTATTATTGATTCCTACAATGTGGTTCCCGATAGCTATATAAGTTGGCTTATCTTACCCCATCTGACTACTATTACTATAGTATGTTATAGTATCTTCCCTATAGTATGTTATAGTATCTTCCCTATAGTATGTTATAGTTGGCTTAGCGATTCTGAACTGGGGCACCACATCGCCATGCCCAGCAAATCTCCCATCCACCACCCAAGCAGCATGGGCTTGTCTGGATTGGGGAATGCTCGCTCCTGAGCAACGCGAGATCGAAAAAGTGCGACCAAACATGGATTTGTCTCATATCGATATACATGGATAGCCCAAAATTGTCCAAACTTTCGCTGACATGATTTCATTTACTGAAAGGACTTTCCCAAATTTGGAGAACGAAGTTTGACAGTTCGGCTCCGCCCAGACTCTGGAGCATTCGGCACCACTGGATGTGTTTTAGCCACCGGTGTCTGTTTTCATTACTAATGTACTGTATAATACTGGTTTCAGCATGTTTTCAGCAACATCGCGAGATAGTCAGCGAAACGGGGGGCTTTGCGAAATCACAGCAACTAGCAGTTGAACGACTTGGAGATATGGTGAATTGACCGAAGGTGATTTCAACTGGCCTGACATGACCTGATATGACCTGATTTTGTTGAGGCCTTTCTCCTCTTTCCGCGGAGTTTGGCCATGTGTTTTTTTGGAGGTAAGGATCGCTAGAATCCGCTAGAACTTCCAATGAAACGTCCTGAAGCAGCCTCCATTGGACCAATGAATTCCAGCTGGGATCCAAGAATTACTGCTTGGTTTGTCTATCTATCTGGTCAGATCATAGATTCACCAACCCCCGGGATGATTCCCAATGCCAAGAATCGATGGTAAACCTCAGACAAAGCATTTTCATTGCTGTTTCAATGGGACAATTCATAGAGCTACCGTACCATATATATATAGAGTTATAGAGTTATAGAGTCATTTTTTAGTCGTCATTTTTTGGGAAGAATCTTTGTTGGCAGACTGTGATCATCGCAGCAAATCCCAGCAGCATATCATCGCAGTGGTTCCAATTGTTCCGTGCATAAAAAGTCACACAGCCTGTTGCTATCTGGCTGCTATCTGCTATCGACATGATCAGATTCGGGATAAATAAGTGGCTGCCCATGAAATAAGCCACATAAGTCAGCCGGTAAACTGCCAACATTTCGGTTGGAACATATTGGGGTTACCACTAGAACTGTTTCTTTTGTCAAAGCAACTCATAGAAACAAAGAAGAACTCGCATTGGTGATATGAAGAATCCTTTGAAAAAACATCTAGAAATAAACTGTTACCCGGCCTGGTAAACATACAAAAAGCTATTGAACATGGCCATTTATAGTGAGTTTTGCCATTGAAAATTTTGATTTTCCATAGTTATGTTAGTTTACCAGAGGGTGTAATTCACGAACCTAAATTGTTCAGCCGAGGATAAAGTAGTTGCAGTAGTTACCTCTGACAACCATCACTCCAGTGAAGTCATTTCATATAGTTTATCAAGAGACATGGAACAAGTATTTCAGTATAGCAGCCCCCCGACAAAATAGAACCGTAGAACCGTGTTTCCAGGATAGTATAAGATATAAATATAGTATAGATGCTGTGGATATTTATGGATTGTGTCTCTTCCGTATATTTTCCAGGTGTTCAACTTTTGGACATTGACCCTTCTTGGGGGGATTTCATGGCCAAATCAACCCGTCGTCACGTCATCGCCAGAGACACATGATGTCCAAGCTTTCTGTCATCATCTTTCCTGCAGAGCAGATCGGTCAGATCATGGCTGCAAATGCTTTTCAAGAACGAAAATAGCCTCTGGTAATCAACGTGGCAATGAAACATTCCCTTTAAATTATGAAATGGAGGTTTATAGCTAGGAAAATCCTCGAACTAAATCATGGATGTTCCAGCCGACCACTTTTGATGAAACGTGATGGTAAACAGCAAGGGCCGGTTTCCCACATCTACAGAGAGACCTGGGCTACCGGTTTTCGCACCATTCAGCATCCGCCACTAATGAGATGGTGATATATCTATATCTATATCTGTATATATATATATATATGCATATATTATATAACTGCTATCTATCTGATATCGTTATATGTTTTTTTAATGATCTCTGCTCTTGTTTATTCCTTCCCTGTAGAATCTGTAGAATTACATAGAATTACTAAAATGTAGGGCCCCAAGGGCCCCCAGTTGTAAGTTGGTGTGTAAACCCTCTTAACTATAGTTCTACATATCATGATCATTCATGATCCATAGTGAAATTATGTGAAATTGGAGTTACACAGCATTTGGGGGCCCCAAATACAGTGGAATTGCCCCTAGCACTCAAAGCTATAGATATCTATAGATCCACATGCACCAGGCAATGATCATCGAGTTTACGAGTCCCCGAGTCGTGGGACTCACACAATGCCGGGTTTACCATGCCAGCAACCAGCCACAAATGGGGGCAATCTTAAGTTATCCCATACCCAAATTTCATAAACCACCATTTTCTATGCTGACTAGTATTAGTTTTGCCTCATTCAACAATATTAAACAGCACCGTGCAAGAAACGTCTGCCTGGATCACCTTAAACTTTAAGCCTTGAACACACACATATATATATAATTATATATATATATATGTATAATTATATATATATATCACAAACATACACACACATGTATAGTCATGTATCAGACTTGCCTCATTGAAACATCACAGAACTGCCATGATCCACTTGGATCCAACCCGCCCGCAAGGCCACTGCTTGGATCCAACAGCAATCCATGGGGTGAAGCGGGTGAAGCATCTGGATTTGTCAAACGCCGGTTATGATATAATATTTTGATATAATATATATATATATATAATTCCATTATATTATCCAGATGAATGGTGGATATGATTAATAAATATTAATCATGGAATATGAATGGATATGATGAAAAATGGTGATATAAAATGAATCATATCCATTCATATCCCATTATATTATCGAAACTGGTTGCTTCACAAAAAGTACTTGGCGCTTCACAGCGCCTGAGTCATGTGATGACCCCCGTTGTAACTCGCCAACTCGCATACTTGCCACTGGGGCGAACTAATCCATGGCTGCCATGGCTGGGGTGGAGTACCATTTGTAACGGTTAAGTAACCAGTGCCCATATGTTCCCATTGGGTCGTTCACCATTCCGTTCGAGTCCCCGCAGGCAGTCCATTCAGTCCATTCCGGTCGAGTCGCCGTCCAATTCCATGGCAGGAAGTAATCCCCGCGGCACCAGATTCAGAAACTCCTGAGGTTTGTCGCCTCAGCGGTTTCCCATCCATGGACAAATTCTCGGAATTGACCATGACAAACCAGTGGATCTAACAGGCTTTTCCCCAAAATTTTCAGAGCCACATGTGTCACCAACCAATGCACAACGAAACAAACATACGCGTTTTGTGATGATCGGATCCCCCTGGGATGGAATAAATTCCCATGAAGATCATCTTGGAGAGCGTCGTTTTTCCATGGAAAGATCCACCAATTTTTAATAGGTAAAGCATCTATCAATGGGTCATCTATACCATGGCTATGTTAAATAGCCAGAGGGTAAATATCAAATGAACTATATATTACTGTCATACCAATGATAAGTAATGATACTGATACTGGATACTGGATACATTGTCATGATACTGTACTTCATATGTTCGATATGATCAGTATCATCTTCACCAGGGAATGCACTTAACTAGTACAGTATCATCCTATCCGGTCCTATCCAGCGGTGCCTTGTGAGGCAAGGGGTCCATTGAAACATGCAGTTATGGCCCTTTACCAGTTATAATCCCATTTATAACCAGATAAAACTAATAAATGGCTATAACTGTGGGGAAAATGATGCATGACATTTAGGGCAACCTATTTTCAAGCAAAGCCACGTTGAACCAACATGAACCAACCATTGCAACTCATTCCCGCTGGCCATCTGGCAATGGATCCCATCGTCAACAGGATTCTCAGCTGCACATGGTGAATAGATCAATATCACTGGTGAAGATACGCAACAGATTTAAGCAAGTCAAGTCATTGAAAGTACCCATCCAGTTTGGTATTTAGTATTTACTCACATTTTGTGTTTGCCGCTCACGCTCGTGCATCTTGATTCATTATTCTTCATTATTCTTCATCAAATTGCTGGTGAACGTCCCCACACTGGCACGCATACCCAGATCTTCCCAGATCTTCAACAAATCACACTACACAGTGCGGGCAATTCGTTACCAAAGTGGCCGTAGGAGCGCATTGGCACCTTTTCGATCTCGTAATCCACCTGTTTCTCCTCCAATAGGAGCCACACTTTCCTCAAGGACCATCTGGAGGATTGTTTGGGTCGTTGGGTCGTTGCTTTTGGGTGGGAAAGTCGCAAGCGGGACCCGTGGTTTTCACATGTTTTCACCACACAATATAACATGATCTATAGAAAATTTCGCTTAAACGGGGAATCAAAAATAAGAGAAAATCACTAAGCCAGTCAAGGTCATATGGATGCACTGAATTTAATTTCATGCATTGTTAAAGCAGTTAACTAACTGTGATTTTCCACATGTTTCAGACCCCGTCTGTGAATGTCTGCGATGGGTTAATCCTGAAAAATCGGAATCATGCAGCATGCAGGGGTACTGGTAGGGACTTGATGTAAGATGGAAGGCACAAACTGATCTGTCAAACAACGGCCCTGAAAGAGGGCAACATTAGAAAGGTTGGTGGTTGAGTTATCCATCCAACACATCTCTCATATCCCAACAGTGGCAGGCAAGGCAAAACTATCGTGAACACGTTTGTTTTGCCGCATTCCAATCATGAACCATTCCAACATTTCAGAAGATAATCCCTTTAAGTCACAGAAATTGAAGAACCACTTTCATTGGCAAATCACTTAAGCACAAGATTGAGAAATCATCACATAAATCACACAGATCTTATCAGTTCTTATCCAAAAAAAAATCTGCCGATTCAGTCTGGTTGGTGGTTGACCTACCCCTCAAAAAAAAAAAAACAGTTGGGATGATGAAAGAAAGACATAAAATTCCATGGTTCCAACCCACCAACCAGCAGTGATATCCCCTGCCATCCACCAGTTTTTCGCAACGGCGCCAGGGGGCTGACAGTAGGGGCACCAGGCCGCCTGGTCTCGGAAGATCTTCACGCGAGGCTTTTGACCTGGCGTAAGCCCCGGGCCAAATCGAAATGAAAAAAAAAAACACGGGGAAAATGATGATTTAATGGGATTTAATGATGATTTAATGATGATTTAATGGGATTTAATGGGATTTAATGGGATTTAATGGGATTTAATGGGATTTAATGGGATTTATATGGGATTTATATGGGATTTATATGGGATTTAATGGGATTTAATGGGATTTATATGGGATTTATATGGGATTTAATGGGATTTAATGGGATTTAATGGGATTTAATGGGATTTAATGGGATTTATATGGGATTTATATGGGATTTAATGGGATTTAATGGGATTTAATGGGATTTATATGGGATTTATATGGGATTTAATGGGATTTAATGGGATTTAATGGGATTTAATGGGATTTATATGGGATTTATATGGGATTTAATGGGATTTAATGGGATTTAATGGGATTTAATGGGATTTAATGGAAAAAACTCATTTAAATCATTGAAGAATGTGGATCTTATTTTCTTTTTATGGGATTGTTTATGGGATTTCGTGGGATTTTTAGATTGCTGATGTATGGCCAAGTTGGTGGGTCTATAACTCCAATAACCATGGTTTATGATACTTATGACGAACTAGTTCATGCGATTTATAAACCAACTTATAACCGCAGTTATGGCCCTCAAAAGTTTTGGAAAAGGATGAAACCATTCCTGCAACTAAGGTGACAAATATCACTTAAATGATGAATTGTTCCGCAGCTTAAAACTGTTAAGGGATGTAACTGCATACCATATACCCACAAGTTGGGGTAGATTTTCACTTACCGTTCGGTGTCCTCAAACATGGCAATCAGAAATCCCCAATCGAAATGGAGGTTTATAGCAAGGACAGTAATCTACTATAAATGGTGGATGTTCCATTACATGTTTTAATCAGTGGGATATACTTGGATATGGTGTTGGTTTGACACATGCATACATACACGTACGTATATATATATATATATAAACACCGTGAATATATATACATATATATATATACACCGTGTATATATATAATGTATATATATATATATATATAATGTGTATATATATAATGTATATATATATATTATGTATATATATATATATGTATACAGGTACTTACTTATACCCCAAGTTACATTTCACACTAAGTTGGGGGGTTATATTCACTTCCAGTATATATCATATTGTAACTATGGGATTGAAACCAGCAAAGAAGTGACTGGAATTGCACCCCCAACAACTACGATGAGGTGCTGCACGGTTTCCTGTGGACTTTCCCAAAAACCAATCTAATAAACGTAAATACTTGGACCATGTTACGATGTTCATATTTTTTCAGCAACAGTTTATGTTGGTTGGTTTAGAGTTTAGTTTCAGCCACATTGACTAGTTGCGAGGCTGTGCTCTACAAGGTCGTTGTCTAACTGTCTAGCCAAAGTTGTGATTTCACAATAATAGGCCAATGGGACTCAGTATTGAAGATCTAGGTATAGCAGCTATAAGTTAGTTTTAGAAGTTAAGTAGGCCAATAGTTGGATTTGTCTGGTTTAGTACATCTACAGTTGGATGGATCAAAAATCAATCAATTTCTGACTCGGTAACGTCTTCTTGTAAGGAGTTTGTCTTAAAAGCCTCCTTTCAGGGCACTGAAACTCTTGGGCAAATGAAATCAAACATGAGACATTGGTCTTATCTCAACCAAGAAATAGAATACCTAACCTCAGTTGGTGCAGTACCCATCAGTTGGTAACTACCAGTTTTGCTGGGAAAGTTGAGGTACTGAGCGAAACAATTTGCGTGTGAACCGCACCTAGTGTCAAATGTGGTGCTCAGCAATGGCTAGCGCAGTTTTGACAGTAATTTGTCTCTCGATTGTACCTTTACTGTCCTTCACTGGGAAACTACAATGTGGGCCCCCAGTTATATTGGGTTTTGAAGCCCATCAACTAATAGTATAGTTTCAAGATGTTTTAAGTATCACATAACCATAGCCATTGGAGTATCTGAAGTGTTAGACCACTTGCCACACCCAAAAGCAGTCCGAAAAACTGCCAGGGCACGCTCAGTTCCGAAGTAGCGCACCTCCGCACAAAGCGGACGACGGATGGGTCGTTTTGAAGGGACAAATCAGCAGGACAAATCCTCAAGGAAAGGATTCACGTGGGCAACCCGAACATAAACCTACCATAACCTACCATTTGGGGATGGTTTGTGCCACCCTTTTATGATGATTTTGGGAGGGTTATTATGGGCTTTCCCACAGTACTGTTGAACCCAGCAAATGATGTTTGACTAAGAAAATCATCACTTACCGCAACAGGCAATGCAAAGATCACAATGTGGTGCCCTCGGTCAAGTCATGTTGGTTTATGTTACCCCATCTATCTACGGTTAAAAACATGTGTATATATGTATATGTATATGTATAGTGTCATCACTATAAACCCTGGTTGACCTACTTGTATCATCTTATATCTACTTATTGACTTAGCTAATGAATTGGGGCAGAACAAATGTTGCGCTTATGTCCTATTGCCACATTTGGTTACGCTGCAAGGCAAATCGGCACCACCGAATTAACGTGGTGAACACAACGCCTCTCCTCCAACCGTACCCTGATTGGGTTGCTTCATGTGTTGCTTCTCCTCCACTACTTGATCTCCCCACATCTATTAATACTTTGAACCCTCCTATCACATCTTCATGTTGTTAGGTTCAAATTCAAATTTGGTGCTCTGAACACATGCAGGGTTATGCTATGGAATATATATATATATATATATCTATTTGGAATTCATAATCCAAGTCATACCATACCATATATATATATATATACACATGAATTCATGAACCATACCATACATATCTATTTGGTATGATCCAAGTCATTTCTGCCATTTCCCAATCTTACGTACCCAGAAGGAGGCCAACATGTCCTACTGGTCGGTCGCCTTGGCATCGGTGTGGGGCACCAAACCTTCGGCCTTGTTGGCCCAGTGCTTTAGCACTTCGCGACCTGTTTTTTTGTGGTCTGGAAAAAAACATGTTTTTATATGGGAAACCACATTTATACAAATGTTTTCTAAAGACAAAAAGGAAAAACATAGGAAACCGCATTTAATTTACGTGAAACGGGGAAAACAAACATAGAACAAATAGGAAAACATATGGGGAAAAAATGAAAAGATGCTATAAATCTACAAATATAAAGGGTTTCATCATCTAAAAACATCGACGTAAATGGTGGATTGTGCAACAAGCAATGTTTGAGTACCGGAGGGTGACTAAGGTTTATGGAGGATGCAGCGAACTAGTATTGATGAGGTAAAACTAAACCAACAAACACAACTAGGGCCCCACATTGTAACTACCCTCTTGTAATTTAATGTAGCTAAATAGCCCATTGTCAGATCGTTATAAAAACGGGATATTTCATGGGATATAACTGGCCAGCAGTATGAAATTATGCTTTGATGGGAGGAAACACCATAACCACGGGCCACCACCTGGTGAAGAGTGGGTTCGATTGGACCACCCAAAACAGCAGGGTTTGAAGATTTTATATATTGTTAATGTAGGCGATTTGTATGTTCATCTATGTTATGATTTGGTGCATGCTAGGTCTATGACCTCTCTCCCCAGCAAAATACTTGCATATATCACTATATAGATATTCGGATATATCATGTGAGATGAGACTGTGATTGAGGCAAGCAAGGGTATATGAGTTGGAAGAGTTCAATCATGAAGTTTCAGTGTGTTCTTCATTCCAACACCAGGGCGTCTGGTGCAAGTTAAGTCCCTTCCTGTTCCTAACAGCAAGGAGTACCACCAAACTCGCAGTTTCAATCGACAGGAAACTGTGAACCACTCCCTAAATTCTGCAGGCATAGACAGGATCTGTAGATGGTTCTCTATCTATATTAATCTCATAGTTTCCAGGTATCCCACAATAATTGGGTGCGTTTCAATCTTGGGTACCCCCAAACTCCGAAGATTATCATCATGTTGGTGGTTGCTGCCCGCTGGCTGCGCCTGCATCAGTCTCCCTGGCTTCTGTGGCCAGGCCTGACAGAAGCTGCCTATGGACCCGTCAAAAGATTGATTTTCTTGACGAGTTTTAGATGGTTGTTTATGATTATTTAATAATATATCAAATATATATATAGTACATTCTATATCAGTATATATATATGATACAGAATATATATATATATACATATATATATATATATATACATATACACATAGATTCTAGATGCATCTATATGCTTTGAAATCCTTGATGTTTGTTGATTTTTTTTGTGATTTTTGTTGGCGTCTTGAGATGTTCAATGAATATGTTTATGACACCTTTAGACTATAGATGTTTGATAATCAACCTTCAAACGACTTTTTTGGGAGCTAAGGGAGACACATCTGGGAGGGGAGGGAAACTCCCTGGGGGCTTAAGCGACCAAGCGACCCAAAAATTGCTGGTTTGAACCAGGCTTCACAGATTCAGTGTCATATGGAAAATCCTAGATAATCCCTTCCTCCTATTACCAAACCCCGCCCAAATACTCAAAACTAGTGTCCATCTCCAATTTTGGACAATTTCAGATTGGCCAATTTGACTTTTAATTGATCTCCTTTAGAAAACAATTGAAAATAAAGCTAGCATTTGTGGGTTTTCCCCCCTAATACTAAAAACTAGTTCACCCCGGGGTGTTTATTATTAGGGTCCGTCCGATTTTTTTAAGTCTTTTATATTAAGGATTTAAATTTAATATTGGGGGGAAGCTTCGAAATCCAATTTTTGGCAATATTTTAATCGCGTTATACAAAGAAATTTGATTGATTTTGAGATCGGAAAAAATAGCTTTTATTCTTAAGGGTATAATTTTATTAATAGGGTTCCCTAACAATAAATACCCCCCTAATACTAAAAACTACCTGCCGTGTTTATTATTAGGGGAGGGGGGGGCGTTTAGTATTAGGAGGAAGGGATACGCGACAGTGACTGAAAACAAATATGATCAAGTATGCATATGGGCATCATATTTTTGCATTCAACAAAAACATGCTTCTTAAGTTTCCCAACCAGGGCCGCGCTACAAGGGCCTTGACCTGAATTACATTACATGAAGCTCTGAAAAAAAAACACAATCTCAGTCAAACTTAAATCATGGAAGCGCGCAGAGTCTCTACCACATTGCAACAAGAGGCTCCTTCTGTTTCATCTATCGCAGCCGTGAGAGACAAACAAGACACCAGTGGCCGTCCAAAATGGCCCAGCATCGCTTGCCTTACTTTCTCAGCCAACAAATCAGTCGGCAAAAGCTTCCATGGTCCAGGTCTGATGGCAGCGAAGTGGCCGAAGACTGTGCAGAGGCATGGCGCTCACTGTCATAGCGTTGCCAGTGACAGGCAGCATCTCAGTTTTCGATCGCAAAGAAAATACTGTCCACAGTTATGGCCCTTTACCAGTTACAAGTAATTAAAACCCCATTTATAGAATGTATAATCCCATTTATAGCCAGTTATAACTAATAAATGGCCATAACTGCATGGGATGCAAAGGGCTAGACAAAGTAGCCCTTTGCAGTCCTCAAGCAGCGAACCCCCTCAAACTCCGCTAGTGAAAGCCACACGAACCAGATGAGGTGGATTTTGTCCATGTTCCAACTAATATCTATATAGGGCCAACACATAATCATCCATAGGATATCAATAGGAAAACTATTTTTACAATAAATGGCTACACAATGCTACACAAAAAAAGACCCAATCAACCCCCCAAAGAAGTTCAACAAAACAAGAAAATCTATGAAAGATGCAGGTGATTGGACACCAAACACGGTGGTCGCCCTGGTCGCCAAGGTCGGCCAAGGTTCAGGCCATAGAAACTATGGATTCCATTGCCAAACCATTGACATAGCCATGATGTAACGCTTCTTTCTTTCATGTTTGATCATGAATTCTGTTGTGCTTCCAGATGTTGAATTGACATGATTTTGCAGAAATGATATTGAGATATTATATATCTATATAATTATATGACTATAACATCTACTGTTTGCATTATATCAATTGTATCCTTGTTGCATTCTTCCATGGGTTTTAACAACCCTAAGATGTCCCCAAAGAAATGTCGCCAGAGGCGGTTCGTTGGCGGTTCGCCTTCCCAAGTGGCCATGGCTTTCATGGCGGAAGTGCCTCTGCGGCAACTCATCAAGCGACTCTGCAAAATTGCGCCCCAAAGCCAGTGAAAATGGTGCGTAACTCATATATACCTAGGGTTGACCGCAATTTTCATGAAAATATCATGGGGCGAAAAAAAACAAACTTATAAAGGCAGGATGCACTACCTCGTAAGGGTGGATGCCAGGGACAAAAAAACAATCTTGACCTAGGCATCATTTTGCTCCATGGACTAAGGTTAAACGATGCTAACGTCTCAAACATCATGCTCAACATTGGCTATCCTCTAGACTTGGCTGGAAATATACGTGTATATATATATGATATAAACATATGTTTATATCATATATATATATGTATAGATACATAAACATATATATATACATATGATTTTGTGTATTTCCAATAGTCTTCCCTACAACACCATGTTGGTATCCCCCAGTTTTGCTGGCCAACCTTCACTTTAGTTGCTCAAATCCTGCTGGTTAGTGGTTCATGTTTTTCCTGCTTTCACAACCACTTTTGATGTACTTAACTCCCCAATCTTGTTTGGATCCCGTCGTATTCCCCAGTTCTTCTGAGTGAAATCCGGATCGAAACCTATTATCATAATTATTGCACCGCATTTAGGGGTGAGATGAAGATCCCTTGAACATCTATTTTCGTGTTCACCGCGGTACCATGCTGAGTTCGCCACCCACGATAACCAGATGGCTTAGTTAACCATCTAACTGGATGGTGGTTGCTGCTAACCCCTCTGAAAAAATATGAACATCAGTTGAGATGATGACATTCCCAACTGAATGGAAAAATAAAATTCATGTTCCAAACCACCAACCAGCTAAGTAATTATTGGGGTACCCAATTTTGCCTTATACCCATACAGTTGTGGCCATGGCTATTAGTTATAACTGGTTTTTTCTATCGGATAAAACACATTCTATAAACGGGGTTATCTTAGTACTTATAACTGGTATAACTTGGGCCATTGATCACCGGGAGGCTACAGCTGGCTGATTTCCGGCCACGCAAAGCTGCACCAACGCCCACCTGTGGGAAAGTCATTAGTGATTTGATGCCGCGATTTTAGAAGCATTGAATGGGATCTTGATGAAGATGTTATAGGCATTGAATGGGATTTTAATATACCTAGGTCTTTAATATTGATGGAGATATCGACCAAAACGTCTACTTTTTGAATTAGCGTCCAGAAAAAGTAAACACTAGGGGTCGACACAAGACTCTTGATCTTTTGAAGACCTAGGTATATATATACATATATATATATATATTTCAATGGTGCTTTACTGCAAACTGGGTCAAAATTGCGTACCCGAATCATTGCAAGGCTATATAATATCAACCATAGACTAAGATCAGCGGAGAATGGTTGAAACCAGTTTGGAAATCTCAGTCTAAATCAGTATAGACTCTAGACCATGACTGGTTCGTGGTTGACCTACCCCTCTGAAAAATATGAAAGTCAACTGGGATGATGACATTCCCAATATGTGTAAAGAAAACATGTTCCAAACCACCAACCAGATGATAGCTTTTGACAAAAATAAACATGTTAGCTACAAATGATTGGGAATACCCTTAGCTAGCCTAGCTGCTTTGCTCTCTCCGAACCACTGGACAATTTGACCAACAAAAAAACATGCAGGTATATGTGAGATATCTACAGTTGATATGTGAGATATCTACAGTTGAATGGGTGTCCGAACCAAAATTACCATATGTCATTAAAGTTGGATTTGTGTTTCGGCTTCGGGCCCTAGATTTTTGTAGGAATCCCCCCCATCTTTCAGTTTCTCAGAGCAATCCTAAAAGGTCTCCGAACAGAGCCATACCCAGCGGAGACCACGGTGGAACCCACCATGGTTCGCATCCGCAGAAATGAAGACATCTTTTAAGCGATCCCTAGATTTTCTTTGACCAAAACATACAGTTATGGCCCTTTACGAGTTTTAAGTACTTATAACCCCATTTATAGAATGTATAATCCCATTTATAACCAGTTGTAACTAATAAATGACCATAACTGTACTCATATGCTGCATGGTGCTGGAATAGTTATCAACATTTGCCCCTAATTTATCACCCAGTTTTGTAGGTTTTTATATACCAGCACCATGGTTCGCATCTGGGATAGGGTGTCCCCTGATTTTTCATGGGCTAGTGGAGGGGGCCATGGGGGGAGCCTGGATTTTGGTGTGGGCTTGGGGAGTTAAGGGCTGGTTAAGGGCTGAAAATCTGGCTTAATAATGGCTTAACAAGGGCTTAATATGGCTTAATACGGTCTTATCCAGGAGATAAGCAGTGGATAAGTGGATAATCCTTGGATAAGCAAAATTCTGCATAGCCGCCCCCCATATGATCCTTCAGCACCCCAAATCCCCTAAATTCCCAAAATGGAGGAAACATGATGAACACACACCAAAATCACTGCAACAATCCCTTGTGGCTTACATTATCCATCAATTTGGATAAGCACTGCATCATAAGGAAGTTCAGCTATCCATGGAGAATCATACCTTAATAAACGTTTATAATAAGGCTTAATAAGATATGAATAAGGCCTTAAGGGTTTATCATTACCCAGCCTTATCAGGACCTGAAATGATAAACCGCCCCATAGCCCACAACTCCAGGGCGCAAGCGCAGCACCCAGGAATGCCACTGGGCGGGACGGCCCAAGACTCCTGGTTTGGCAAAGTGCAGATTCCTGGGAAAGTAGCTGGGTTCATGTTCAATACCAAACATAGGATTTTGATATCTATATATATACATAAATATACTAAGATCCTTAGGTAGCTAAGTTGGTTTATAGCTCTAATAATTATGGCTTATGATACTTACAACTATAGTTAAATGGTGTTCACAAACCAACTTGTAAGATCTTATAGCTGGGGGAGCCCAAATTGTAGATATCCTTACATTAGATCCTTACATATTGCTCATATAAGATGTATATATATAATATTATATTCATGAAGATTATATTTCGCACATGTACAACCACCTATAGGATATATTGAATAGTTATTCGATGGTCTATTGATGCTTTGCTTCGGTTTATGTAGTTCCTGAAGATCTTCAACAACACATACCTATCATCTTCCTGCCCAGTGGTTGGGATGCATTGGCATTCAGTATCCTCATTTTATCTTATTTTCAGTTACCCTCTGGTAATTTAACAAAGCTATGGAAAATGGCCATTGAGAGTTGATTTACTTATTCAAATGGTGATTTTCCACAGCTATGTTAAATTGCCAAATGGTATATCAATGAGTTCCCTTTCAATAAAATCGTTGAAATCAAAAATACTTGGATGTACATCTCATTTAGGAGCAGGTTCATCACCATGCCTGCTAGCTATGTGGGATATGACATGATATAACCCTATGCATGGCTTTATTTCGAGTCAAGTGGGATGCACATCCAACCAGGGTGATCCTGTCGGACGACAATGTCATCAAGGGACTGGCCTAAGGTGATCAGAAAATGCCCGTCCCACTGAAGTTGGAGAATCAACAAATCCAAATTACCCAAGTTAGCATGAAATTGTGAAGCTATAAGACTTCAATTCCAACTTTGGGGGCACTGCTGTACCAAGTTGTGCCAAATCTACTCTCTCTCCTCGCTGGCGGTCGAAAGCTACGTGCGGCGCTGCCGGAAAGGACTGGGCGTCGCAAAGAATCCTTGGGATCGGTGCTGCCAGGTCGGTAGCACATGGCAAGCTGGAAAATTCCCTTAAAAAATGGAGGTGTGAATGTTCATAGCTGGGAAAGTATTCTATAAATGGCTGATTTTGGAGCCATGTTTGATTACAAGAGAAAATATACCCATATCAGATATCAGATAATGAACTGTAATTATGCTGTAGCAATACGCACTACTATGTATATACATAGTATAGAATTCTCTTACAACATTCACAGTTATGGCCATTTATCAATTATAACTGGTTATTTCAATGGGATTATATATTCTATAAATGGGGTTTTCTTAGTACTTATAACTGGTATAACTTGGGCCATAACTGCAATAATATCTGAAGATTCTGAAGTTCATTGATGTTACAACATTCAATAATATCTGAAGATTCAGAGATATACTCCTATGTATATACATAGTATAGAATTCTCTATGTCTATACAATAATCATGGGAAAATATGATAGTATATGTTCAAGGATAAGTCAATTCCCATTCAAGGTGCGTCCAGTCTGTGCGAATCCTTCTCTGGATTTCTAGAGGATTGTCTGCGAGCAATGAAAACCTGGTAATTCAACACATATACCATTTAGATCCATTTAGATCAATGTATAAATTTTAGTATAAATCACTTTTCGGTTGAGAAATGGCATCATCCTTTCCATTTGATTACGAGATGTATCCTCTTATGAGTGGGTTATAATGGGCCGCTATAATGATCCACTACTTAACCAGTTGACAAACTCCATGGCCCATCCAAGTTTAATTCGTCGTCGTCGTCGTCGTCATAGTAGTAGTACTCAATGTGTAGAAGGCTCAAGCTAATGGATGCAACCAGCATATGACCTAAGCAATGGGGATACAGTATACCCAATAATGAAGGCTTAAACAACAGAAATGGGGATTGAGAAATCAAACCGATTTACCAATAAGTTGTGATTGCTATCCCCAATTGTTTAATTGGCTGGTATTTAATTACCTACCTGGAGCCCCAAAGAACCAGAAATAAGTGGTGGCTTCCCCAAACAACCACGTGTTATGTAGGGATTCTTCACTACCATAGGGAAACAACCATATATTCCTGGTTGAAACTGAGGTTCCAGGTACAAAAATGCTACTCTTGCGAGCTAATAATGTATCACGTTTCTTCTCGACTTTCACTTATTCCAAGGTTCGTTGGTTTATCACCAGTTTCCCTGTGATATTTCATTCTTTGGCTATGAGTCAAAGCCCCGGATGGTATCCTATAGCTGGGATTTACAGAAAATGACGAAATAGAGGCCCCATTTTGCCACGTTTCTGAAAATGCAGTGTTTCTTGTATATCATATTCGATCATCTATTTTATAGACCTTGAATACGTTCCTTCGTATCATGTGTATACACACTACAAATACACACATACTAACATACATATATATATGTATATATATATATATGTATATATATATATATATGTATATATATATATATATATGTATATATATAATATTTCATTCTTTGGCTATGAGTCAAAGCCCCGGATGGTATCCTATAGCTGGGATTTACAGAAAATGACGAAATAGAGGCCCCATTTTGCCACGTTTCTGAAAATGCAGTGTTTCTTGTATATCATATTCGATCATCTATTTTATAGACCTTGAATACGTTCCTTCGTATCATGTGTATACACACTACAAATACACACATACTAACATACATATATATATGTATGTATATATATATATATATATGTATATATATATATATGTATAAATACAGATGCACTACAAACCAGTTAGTCATAACTATATGATTTAAACTGTCTATCCTCGGCCGAGATTTGGAGATTCCCAAGGATTCCCAGGTAGGATATATCCCCTAGGGGATCCCACATCCCCAACGATCCCCTAGGGACTAAATGTAGTACATAGCCTGGAGAGGGAAGGGGGCCGGAAAAAAAAAATGGGACCCCCTCTGAAAGCTATTTATACTAGAAATGTTGTTTTTTTTGGGATCTCTAGTCTACTCAAAGCCTTTCTAAGCCATTCGAAGCTATCCAGATATATGCGAAGCCGTGCGGAGCCGTCTGGACCCATCTGGAGACATCCATGGCCTTCCTCAGCAATATATTCATTGAAGTTCTTCCGAGGCTCAAATACTCTTCAACAAAAACCCTCAGCAATAAAAAATACATCTTACAGACATACGGAAGTTGCTTAAAACAAAAACAAAAGTCCAAGTTAGTTAAAAAAAAATGTTAAACACGTGTTTGTCCATCTGAACTCAACCTTGATATCTCTCCAGGTAAAAAAAAATGGCCTCATCGAAAAGAAAGAATCCCCAGATCCACAGAAAGAAACAAAATACCATCTGGTTATTTAACATAGCCATGGAAAATCCCTCATAAATGGAGGTTTTAATGGGAAAATCATCTACAAATGGGCCATTTTCCATGGCTATGTTAAATAACCAGATGGTGTGTATATATATACATATATACATCGCTTTACTTATAATCAAAATCTATATGGAGGACTTGGATCCGTAAGTCTACTGCACTCTTCTATATGCGCTTTACAGAATCAACATCTGTATGGAGGGTTGGGGTCATAACTCCGCCTCTACTATCTTGTTCTATATACAATTTATAGAACCAAATGCAATAAGAACTAAATAGCAGCAAATAATTGAAGAGTACTGTAGCAGAAACAAAGCAAATAACATGAAATACAAAAGAACATTGAAAAAACATGAAAGACTATCAACATAAACAACAATAAACTATCAAACAATATGCCTATTTTACGTGGAAATCTAAGGGGTCCCATTAAACCGTCATGCTCAAGAGGGATTTATGGACGTTGATTCCGTCGTTTCAGGGCCCATCACCAAGCTTCAAACCCTGGTACCGCGACAAATGCCACGGCCATTGGAGGCGCCGAAGTTCGGCGCGCCGGCACTTGAGCCGTGCTAAGTTGCTAAGGCTGTAGAAAGGGGCCCCCGCCTTGAAAAATCATGGATGACCATGACTTAGAAATTTTATGAAATTTGAAACAAGCATGGTGACTTGGGGATCCCCAGGCTTCAAGAAACACCTAGTTGAATTTTAAGTAGCTTACAGTTATAGCCCCTTTCACATAACTTGCACTTGCAGGAAAAAAACTCATTTAAGTGAGATTTGGTCACCTTAGTTGCAGGAGATATTTCATCCCATGGCCATAACTGTTAGTTGGGCCAAACTCATAACTGTATAATCCACCTTTTAGTTGGGACAAGACGATTCCAACTAGTTTCAATGGATTGCTGCAAAAGGAAACATCTACATGAACCATTACTGAACTTGCCCCAGCTTGCTTGAAGATTCTGGTTTCGGCTTTCCTGTCGTACATGTCAAACGGACAGTTAGTTCAAGCTGATAGTTGTCTGGATCGCATCTTTTGTTTTCACCATTGGCATTGAACAAAAACTATAGCTACTATAGCCAATACCCTGGTAAACAAACATTTTGCAATGGAAAATCACCAGGTTTAGTGGATGAATCAACTATCAATGGCCATTTTCAATAGCTATGTTAAATTACCAGAGGGTACCATCCCTGATGGTATATTGACCGACACGACTAGGTGACATTCTTGCATAGCAAACACACCACTTTCATGGAGTATATGCGAACAAATATGGAAATATCCAGGTACGACATCAACAACCCAACCGATGCTGGGTGAAAAGTACTCGATAGTACCTCGATATTCCTTTAAGATGATCATGCAAAATATGCAAATGGCCAATCATGTGTACATTACGACTATTAAGGAGTGTGTGCGATCAACTAATGTACAAGCCGCTGACTCCCACTTGTATCATTTGGTTTACAAACCCCTACCCTAAACCCGTGTGAAACATTAGCTTAGTTGACGAACTGGGGCACCACATTCCAGCAGTTTCCGGCTTGACGGGAAACATTACAGGTTTGATGGCAAAAGATGCACAAGCCTTTGGCTAGGTGCCCAGGTGGCATGTGAATAGCTTGCATTTTTTTGAAATGGTCCATAATTCCATTCCCTTTGAGTAAACACAAATGATCAATTCCTGTGTTTTTCCACGTAAAAAAAAATAAACAATGTGTTGGTCAGAATCTATCATGTATAAAACATTGAAATGGTCCAGAATTCCATTGGCCCAAATTTACTACTTCTCAGTTGCAGCTTGGAGCCCCCACTTGGCCGCGGCCTTGGGAAGCGAACGAGGAAGCGAACGACCCGACCCACAAAAAGAAACAAAAAGAGGGCTGCAAAGCCAACCGGCTGATCTAAAGGTATGAACATGAAACATGATTCATATTCGAAATTTGATATATATATATATATATTGATATACATATATATATATATACTCAATGATTTAAGAACATGATCTGTAGATATTAAGCTCTGGGACAATCCACGGGGCAGCAATTGCCAAACTGGGCCATGTGTATACCCCAATGATAAGCCACATTCGGTTTGGGTAGACATGCCGTATGTCATTGTGACATGTTTTGTTTCTGGGTTTTGCACCTCTTGGTTCAAACAGTGATTTGATCACTCATTTTGATAGGTAGATCATCTATAAATGGTCATAAATGGTCCATGGTCATCCATTTTCCATAGCAACTGGGGGCTAACAACTTCAACGTCCCGGATCCCTTGTCACGTCACGTCCCAAAACACTGGCCCATCCATTCAATCCGCCCATCACTTTGGCATCCCGACATCTGATGCCTGGGTCACAGCAGCTGATTGAAGGACTTCTATGGGATATATGGTGGATATGAATGGGATATAGAATGGGAATATAGAATGGGATATATCTATAGCTGCATTAATATATATATATATATATATATATTATATAATAATCTATATATATCCCAGATGCGAACCATGGTGCTGGTATATAAAAACCTACAAAACTGGGTGATAAATTAGGGGCAAATGTTGATAAATATTCCATACATGGAGTATCTGGGATATTGTAGATTAGGGAAATCAAATTGGTCGGTGTTGTTTATTTTCAATGACACTACGAACATATCCTGGAACTCATTCCGTTATTCCCCCCGGTACAGTTGGTGTGGCCCGGAACCTGCAGCCCTTCAACCCAAGTTGCCCCAGGTTTTGAATTGTCTAATACCCCGATCATAGCAAGAGATCCACGTATTAATTCACCACATTTATTTATCTGGTTGGTGGTTTCAACCCCTCTGAAAAATATGAGTTCGTCAGTTGGGATGATGACATTTCCAATATATTGCCAATATATTATGGAAAGTCATAAAAACCATGTTCCAAACCACCAACTATAGTTATAGCTGGATTTAATTGGTAGATCACATTGACATGTTTGTTACATACTGCGACTACTGAGTTACCGCGTACACAGTCAATGTCCACACATCGCGCCCTTAGGACCCCACTGCTCCAGGGCTCATCGCATCAGCGCAGCTAAACCGAGATCATTGTTTGGTGTATGCATTGGTACCTGTTACAAAATGGCTATGGATCAATACCTATGAAAATACCATTTTTAGTGGGTTATGAACATCCATTTACCATCATTTACCAGCTATTTTGATGTGAACAGAAGGGGTACTATTGGTTTTGACACACTGCCATATGGGCGACCATATTCTATTATATACTTACCATGTTATGGCATAGCAATGTATCGGACCACAACTTCTAGGACAAGAAATGCTTCCACCAACCGCGGTTCCACAAATCTCAAGCGCCGCAAATCAGCTGCCATAGGCACTCCATGTTCCACTTCTATGTCCATCTTCCATCATCTTCCAATGAAAATTTGAGCCAAGGTTCAAGCGAAAGCAGCAGTGGACAGGTCATTACATGGAGTACTCAGATATTTTTTTCTCTTCTGGCACAGTCTGGATACTGGTTCTGGTTTCTTGGAAATCCTTCTGAACAAAACTCCCCATTCAACATTCTTTGGGATCCCATGTCGGGAAAATTCTCCCATCCCCTCGTTGGAAAAAACATTTTTAGGATACCCTCTGGTAAACGTTTACTAGCTATGGAAAATCACTATTTTTAATGGGTTAACCCACATAAATCCACTATGTCTATGGCCATTTTCAATGGCTTTTTGTATGTTTACCAGACGGTAATTACCCTGCAAGGCCCAAATGACTTCATCTTCAGCGGATAGAAATGTCTATTTCACTGGTCTAAAAAAATACTCATGATTTGAGGACAATCGGCTGAAGCATGCTGAAGCCACAAGAACGGCCCCCGTTTATGATAGGAAACTATAAGGTGCTGCCCCGTACTTGGATAAGTTGCTTGATAATTCATATATCCAGGCTAGGGTTCGCGGTGATTGTGAATATAATTAGCTATGATAAAAACATAAACCCAACTATAACTTCGGGCCACAACCTTGCACTCACAGTACAGTCGTGAATTTGGTGCTGGTTTCGGTCGTGAAAACTGGGGTATATTAGGCATATTGCAGCACCGTTCAATGCAGCAACATCTTTCGCAGGTCGCTGGCCTCTGTACAGACTCTAGCAGCGATATGTGGAGGCTCTGGGTGCCGATTTCGCGACATGTTCGTTGAGGACGTTGTGTGCTTTGATAGGTTTTTAATCACCAATCATAACCATCAATAACGACCAATCATAATTTAACCATAAAAATCATGGGATATGACTGGATAATTATAACTAATGGTTAAGGAATTTAGCAGCTATAGGAGTCTTTTTGAACATGGAAACATAGGAATCTGACGATGAACTATGGGAGATTGCAAGGAAAATCATTTATACAGTACACCGTACACCTAAGAAAAACCTGTTGATCCACTGATCGACCCGCAAGCAAAATCATATTATCGAAACATGTTGTTTTTTTCATTAACAAACTGAGATCTATGCATGCATCAATGATCAACGCAGAAACAAAAGGAACATTGGGCCAAGAGTTTGAAGTCTTGGTTGTAACTCTGTAAGGTTTTGTACACATTGATTTGCGCCATGAGTTTGCTTTACGCCATGCAATCGTGGAGGCCCCCCATAAGCAGAGCTTCAAAGCTTCACTGCAATATGTTGAAAGTGGATGATTCTGTCAGCTTCTACCCTAAGGGACTTGCGGCCTCAGGGAATATCAGATACCTAGCACCACCAAAATCATGGCTAAACCTTCTGTTCATGCTGAATAGCTACGAGCACCCAATTCTTTATCCCTGTTCAAGCGATATTTGGCACACAAAGCTCTTGCTCCTGGTTGGTCAGCATACTGTGGCTGTACTGTGCAATATTGTGCAATCTTGACGTTTGGGCCCTTGAATTCAAAGAAACCGAAAAGACGGTACCACCAACCAGGCTGTGAAACTCTGTCAGAAACAATTTTCGGACAGCCCCCAACAGGGCTGTTTAAAGTTCAGCCTTTCATGGGCCAAATTTCGTCACTGTCGGCGGCAAAAGTCAGGGCGGGGCACTGGGGACCGCCGCCTCCGGGTGCGCCGGCGCTGCGTAGCCGGCGGTGGAGGCAGCCGGCTCGGCGGCCTTGGAGAAACGTGGAAGGCGTGGAAAAAACATGGGTGGAAAACGTCGTGAAAAGTGTCGATCCTCGAGATATCTGGTGCTTTTCAAAGATGTTCATCTGGTTGGTGGTGCAATAACCATCTTGAAAAATATGAGTTCGTCAATGGGAATGATGACATCCAATATATGAAATGGAAAATAAAAGCCATGTTTGAAACCACCAACCAGTCATCATTTGTTTTGACTGAATGATGTTTACAGTTATGGCCATTTACTACTTACAACTGGTTATTTCTATGGGATAAAACACATTCTATAAATGGGGTTTTCTTAGTACTTATAACTGGTATTTTGGGCTTAGGGATCTGCTGATTAGGGATCTGCCTCGTGACCGTTTAGGGAGATGTTTGGCTTCTGAATGTTCCATTGGACTTATTTGGGCCCCAACTTGAAAGGAACTGAAATACCTTCAATGCTGAAGAACCCAAGTAGAGTATAGCCGAGTATAGGAGCCAGGTGATTTTATCATATTTTATCTACATAAATTGGGATTCAACCTACAAAGTTGGGACTTCACCCATCTGGTGTTTCAACATGAATCTGACAAGACTGATTGCTTCCAACAGCAAGTGAAGCGTTCTAAGCCACTTGCCGTCACATGTCTGTTGTTGGATACCCTGCAAACAAGTTACCTGGCTAGCTGTTTCCATTCGCAGACCTTTCACCAAGTTTCGGTCAATACCCCTCATCGATTGCTCATTCATGTTTTTAAACGTCAAGGGAAAGTCTCTGAAATCCCTGTGTATTTTCAGTTTCCCTCTGAATTTTGGATGAATTCTGTAGGTCAAATCCGAGTTCTTCCCATCTTTCATCACCCACCCTGCGCCCAGCCGTGACGAACCGCGGCAAGTGACGGGCTTTTCCACCGATGGAAGTCCGCCAGCCAAGGTCATGGCAGCGGCTTCCTAACGGCCCACCATAATGGGGGATATAACATGATATAACCATATATCAACCATTATTAACCAACAAATATCGGAATAAACCAACGAATATGGGGATATAATCGGGATGCACTGCAAGTGGAGTTGATGTCTTCACGTGGTAAATGATAGGTATATGTTTTCCTGCAATGTGATCACATCTCCATGTGGGTTGCTTCAATGTATGTTGTTTTGTTACATTTAAAAAGAAAACCATGGCTTTTGTGGGAAAATACAGCAAAATGGGGTCCTCATCCAATTTAGACCTAAAATCCAATTCTGGGTTTATTGCCCATGCGTGTGGCCTTGTAGGGATAGTCTCAAAACAGTGATAGTCACATATATATATATATAATACATTGAATACAACTCAACTAACATGGATAATTGATTATTATTGTTGGTTTATCATATCATGTATACTTGAAAGGGTTGGTTGGATTCTTGTTGCTTTCTCTCTTGTTCATGTCATGTAATGTGGTAAACCCATGTAAACCCAATCATCAACCTACCATTGGGCCCAAATGTTGGTAACTTGTCCATTCATTGAACATCTGGGCATACTATGTTACTATATATTTATTGGACCCCAAAACGATGGAACTGTGTTTCCAGGATGGTATATATAAAGAATATGTTATTTACATATATATATAATATGTATATAATATGTATATATATATATTATCCTCTGGTAAATTAACATAGACCGTGGCAGTCATCGGGGTTGGAAGACTAGTTTCCATTAAACATTTGCTATTTTCAGGGTATATTTACCTCATTTTTTTCCAGGTGTCCCATCTGTTGATCCATTTTTGGGAAATATATGTGTTCTATCAATTCCAGGGTCTAACTCTTTAGTTCCCCTGATTTCAATATATTTTAAGTATTCCCCAAAGATATAGATGATTATATATATATACATATATATATATACACATATATATATGGTTTTCAAACCTGGATCCATATAAATATATACATGATCTACTTTACCAACAAACCTGCCCCTATCTTTCTTGGGTTTTCACACCCGCCTCTTCCAACTTGGCAAACTCCTGCGAGATTCGTCATGGGGGATGTAGAAAAACCAATGAATGCTACCTATTGGTGCTGTAAGTAACGGTTATGCTAAGTGGGGTTGTAAACCAACCGTTGTAAAGCGGTGTTTTTACCATCTCTGAATGATGACTTTTAACCAACAAAAAATGATAAAGCTGGTGAGTTAAGCCGAGAAAATGGGATGATTGATGGTTATAACCCAACTATTCATGCTGATTGTCATGAGGATAGATATCAATGTATAGTATGATATGAAATGCAAACAAAACAAACGGTGTATATGGCTGTGGCATAGGCTAAGTGGTGGAATTATTGCAGATCTGTCATGGCAAAAATCTGCGGTGGGATGGGTGAAACTAAGCCATGGCTTGCGGGAGGAGGCCGTCCTGTGGGTTTGAAATGGTTCGGACAGCCTCACGAAATAAGATTGATTATAATCACACTCAAAATAGACAGAACATGGGTTGTAATCAATCTTATACTATCTTATACTTATATTGCTTATAACTTAGATCCATATGTATAGATTATGCTAAATGAGATTGGTTATCTTCCCAATAAATGAGTTATAATTTAGCTTAGTATCCCAACCAACAGAAAGAGACAAACATAAGGATCAAACCAGCAAAAAAAGAGAGAAAAAACACCAGCACAAAGTGGGATACCACTTGATACATGGGGGTTTCCTACCATACCGGATCCCCAAATACCATAGGTTTCAATACTAAAGTGGTTTCATGACTTGGATGATTTGGGGGTACCCCCATGACTTAGCAAACCTCCACATGACCTATCAAACACATATATTTATCCCCTCCATAAAACGGTCATAAAAATAGCGCTCCGGCACAGATTTTGAATTGGCGATGTATCCTACTCATTACTAGGAGTGTTAACCGGCTAAGGAGTAAAGCATGATTGATACATGTCTCCATGAACTCCCATGACTTTTGCCAGGAAGATGAGGGATGAAATCTCCAAATGTCTGGTATAGCAACCTTCACAAAACAATAGAAAATTACGTTTCCATTTTATGGGGGGAACTTAGTAGTTTATATCCTCGATTGATATTGCCAACGGTTGCTTCGTCACACCATCTTACACTCCCAAGAGGAGCTGGTATAGGCTGGTACACTACTTGGATATGTATCCCAGTTGGTATGTGATTAGTAAATTATTATGATACATTGGGAGCATCATGGTATATCTGACCCAAGCGTTCCATGATATATATATACACATAAGAAACATCGTATTCTAATCAGCAAAAATAATATGTTCAACAAACACATGCAAAGATGATCAAACCAACAATTCCTACAAGGTGGTGACCCATAGTTACCTCAGTTGATGATATAACCGAAACATCAATAGGTTTTCTGATCAAATAACTATATAGTATAGTTAAATGGGATGACATAAACCAACAAACGCAACGAACTTGGGGGCACCACATTGTAAACCAGTTACTGTCCTGATGTTCGATGATATGTTTCATGGTTAACTCCCCATTTGCCCATGGTTTATACACCAACTCTTGATGTTTTGATGCACTGCCCCATCTCCATCCCCGCTTTTCCATCCAGATTTTCCATGAAATCACATGATTTCCCCATCGCTCCGCGGCCAACTCATCTTCGGTTGCGCCATCCACCTCTGTTCCAGCAGCCAAGGCTTCGTTCATGGCCTTCATCCTGGGCGAGCCGAAAAACCCACAATGAAAAGCCATGTAAAATGCTGATGTTTCATACAGTTATGGCCATGGCTATTAGTTATAACTGGTTATTTCTATGGGATTATACATTCTATAAATGGGGTTACAAGTACTTATAACTGGTAAAGGATAAAGGACCATAACTGTAGGATTTCAAAGGGAATTCATGGGTTTCTTCATTGATGGAGTTGAGTTTAGAACCACCTTGTTGGATCTTCTTGGGTGGTTTCTAAGAATAGCACTCACAACTATAACATGCGATAAAAAATATTGAACCAGTGAAACATGACTTGTGTATTTGAAACATAAGTTCAAATTCTTGCGACAATGTGTTCGGCGATTTTTGGCATGCTTCAAAAAGGGAAGCAACTGGGTATGGTTCCAAGCTTGGGGTACCAAAGAACTAAATGACAAAGGACGCGCAACATAAGGCAAATTTAAGAGAACTAAAGCATCCAACCTTTGAAGAGCAACACATTGTTTATGGGGTTTGGTTGATGGTTGATTGAGGTTGCAACATCATTTGCCCCAGAACTGGAAGATTTTTCTTTAGCAGGATCAATATCATGTGTTCCTAGTGTCATCTGTCATGGATCAATCAGTAAAAACAAACATCTGCTTGGCGGTCTAAAGCATTCCTCAAATTATAAGCCAACAGGCAAATTGGGAGAACTATGTGTATGTATATACGTATATTATCTATATTTACCTGTATATATATATTCAATGCAGATTGTATATTACTTGCATTGGATACCAAACAAGGGCAACTGTGTTGAACCCTGTATTAAGCCGTCCATTTTGGTAGGTCACAGCTATGATCCAATGTTACACCACAGGTTGGTTTATACCTAGGTCAAGTATGGTTAAGTACAGTTTGGTGTGGAACCACCTTGCTTTCTACATAGGTCATAAGTACCAGTACATATTTTTTCTACAAGGTGCTGCCCCTCCATTGGAAATTATGTTTATCATTCCCACTCACAATAGGATATTCACATATATCGACCATAAAAGCCTACTTATGTAATCCTACTTAGACAGATATATTAGCATACGATAGTTTATGATAGTATTATTATATTATATTATATTATATTATATTATAGTACTATTATAGTTTTATTATATTATATTATATTATATTGTATTATATTGTATTATATTGTATTATATTATATTAAAATAATTATATTATATTATATTATATTATATTGTATTATATTATATTAACATAAATTAAATTATATTGTATTATATTATTATATTATAGTATATTATATTATCTCATATTAAATTATATTATATCATAGTATATTATAGTAAATTGTAGTATAACATAGTATATTATAGTATATTATATCATATTACATCATATTATATTATATTATATTACATTATATTATATTATTTGTATATATTATGAGTAATATGCCAACTTATAAGGCAACTTAGCCATTCAGTTAAGGGCCCCCCGGGAGACTGACCAGTGACTCGTCTTGCAAGTCGGCCATGTCGTCCATCAACTTGTCCACTGAACCGATGTCGGTTTCCTTGATCTTGTCCTGGCGGACAACGAAGAAATCGTCAAAGAACTGGTGAAATAAAAGGTGGCGACCCGGTTTAAGATAGCAAAGTTGGTTTAGTTCACTAGGTTAAATATATGGTTTATTGTGAAATATAATAATGTAGAGAGATAAGGATATAGATATGATATAGATATTATTTAGATAGATAGATAGATAGATAGGTAGATATATAGATAGATAATCGGGATCTAGTGATGATTTACCTTCCCGTACTCAAAGATGGCAATGGACAAGCCCTATGATGGGAAATCCAACATAATACTGGCTCCAGTTCTTACATTAAAACGCCCCATGACCAATAGATTGTCCTGTTTGGGGAGGAACAAAACAACTACAACTGGTTGTTGAATGGAGGGACCAGGCTAATTTTAAATCAGCTAGTGGGAAATGGACCGCATCCCTTGATGATGATTCCCCACAACAGGAGTTGTGCCCAAGTGAGCTGAATCGCTAAGTTGGTTTATGACTAGATTAACCTTTGGGATAACTAGGGTTTATGGTGATGAAAAAGCTATAGTTAGATTGGGCACCACCTGGCATTATAGAATTGCATTACATATAAGTACCTGACATACATAAGATTATGTAAGTACAATACTATCGGTACTATAGGTAGATGTTTTCGTACAATAACTATAGATATTATAGTTAGATGGAGCAACAAAGACCAACATTTCACCCTGCTACCCTGTACCTGGCAATGTTTGCCTGCAAAGTCTTGTGTCCATCCGCCATGGCTTTCACGGTCATGGCCGTAATTTCCGCTTGCTCTTGCTGGAAGGCCAAGTTTTCCACATTAAACCTAAAGGCAGCCGCAGAAGTGAATGGTTTATTTTGTACCCCAGGTGAAAAACTAACAAAAAGATGTGGAAAACCATGGAAAACCTATGGTTTCCCTAGGAAAATGCTGTATACATGGTGGGTTTTCCGCATCGAAGTGTCAGTTTACCCTAGACGCTGGAAGACTACATCTAAAAGTAGGGCTTCTCAGGGTCGAAACTGGTGGTTGGGACTGCACATTTTAGCCACTGTGTTTTGTCAAAAAAATGGGCCTCCTATCATCGAAAAACAAGTGGTGGTTTCAACCCCCCTGAAAAATAATTAGTCAGATTAGATCATCATCCCAACTATTGGGGAAAATGAAAAATGTTCCAAACCACCAAACCATAAAAAAGGCAAATATGTTCAGTGGAGTACATTACCCATTGGTCCAATGCACCCAATATGTTCATGTCACGCCTAGAGTCCCAAAATAAGTATGGTACTGTTCCAATGGTAGCACAGTTCAATTGCTGGTAGATGCCTGCTAGTAATTCCCTCTTCCTCAGCCTCCTCAGCTCATGTTTGTCATCATAAATTGTATGCATAAGGGTTGCTCCCAAGATGTTTAAGGCTCCCAAGACCCCAATATAAAAAAACTTGGGGAAACTGGCAAAGTATAGAGGTAAAACCAGCAGTTAAAACCATCAGCTTCCACCATTCTGGCAATCAAGTTACATATTAAATACATACCTGGTTGGTGGTTTTAACCATCTTGAACCAAAAAATGACTTCGTCAATGGGAAGGCTGGTCCCATATCAATTTTAGTCACTTGGGATTATGACATTCCCAATATATGGAAAGTCATAAAATTCATGTTCCAAACCACCAACCAGATTGGTATTGCCCATTGATAATCCTAGATACAATGGGTTGGAACAACCCTATGATTGGTGATAGTTTGTCCATCGGGGATCGCAATCCATCCACAATTTCCACTGGCTTCGCCAACATCCGGCGGATCCCAAGCGGCTGAGTGCCCAAGAGCTGGTCCTAAGCAGAAAATCTGACAAACAAAAAACGCTACCAGTGCTCGCTTCTAAATAGAGATCTGATTATATATGTATATTTAAATGGATAAATAATTACCTGTTCAAAGTTCAAACAAAGGTCATTCAGGTATGAAACTCATTCTGAGGCTACCGTACTTGCCGGGTGAATCAACAGTGTGTGCTTTTTTTTTTACCAATCCCAAAATGACTTTGATTTCAGTCTCCACAGGAACTGCGGAGCTCAGAAATGCCGGCTTGCTGAAGCCACATTGAGATGTCAGGATCTTATCAGCAAACATGTAAATTCTACTCATGAAAGGAAGTTAGGCATTTATGTATGTATGTATATATATATATATATATGTAAGTCTATAGATTTTTAAAGAACAATCCGACTGCTGGTTTGCAATCCAATATAAAACATGTGCCATTGCCAAGTTGGACTACCAGAGATAACCATCTTGGGATTACAATTCTGTTGTGCTGTGTCATGCTGTGTCTATTCTTGTGATATGTGATAATGATTGTCAGATTGTCCAAGTCTACAAGAATTTGAGTCATCAAAGTACACCAGCATCCAATCTTGGAGGACCCACCAGCCAACATGCCGAGTCACTCTCTGCTGTTCATACATTTTCTTCTTCTTCATCGCCTAGAGATCGACGAATCGACCAAATTGTGGAGATATGTCATGGGATTACCCTCTGGTAATTTGACAAAATAGCTATTGAAAATGGCCCAGTCGAAATAGTGAGTTTTCCCATTAAAAAATGGTGGATCTTTCCACAGTTACGGTGGCTGTTTACCCCATGATAATCCCCATAATTCCCATGATATTCATAGATAATCCCATGATAATTGTGATTTTCCACAGCTATGTGGCTGTTTACCAGGCCGGGTACTCAGATGTTAATGGGAATTCACCACAAAAACTCGAGGAATGAACGTTAACCAACAGGATTTTATGAGAACCCCTTCCCCCGATCATGAGCGAAATACCCCCCATGTTCGGGATCCAAAAATTACTACAGTTATGGCCCGAAATACCAGTTATAAGTACTAAGAAAACCCCATTTATAGAATGTATAATCCCATTTATAACCAGTTATAACTAATAAATGGCCATAACAGTAGGGCGAATACTACACCAAAGGTCCAAAGGTTTCGTATGAGGGTAGGGAGAAAGGGACTATGATGAGCCAAACAATGGCCGTTTTATGATGTTGGTCCTATATATGGTAGAGCCTTGGTGGAGCCATTGAATTCCCTAAGCCAAGAGTAAAGCATTGCCATTAACCAGCCAGGACTTGCAGATTGATACATGAAAGAACCATGAAAGTACAAACATGCCAATAGAGGATTCACCATGTATCTAAATGTCGAATCAACACATATCAATAAAGACAACATCATTGAACTCAGAATTTGCTCAACATCCAAAATTATATCTCAAGGCTGTTCTCAAAAAAGAACACTCCAAAACCCTCATGGCTAATACGGCTAACCCTGAATCCAGCCGTTCACATTCCGCCTGCAAGGCTCTCGCTTTGGCGGTTGGATTGCTGCTCCTGGACTTGGCCATTGGCTTATACCGTGAAGTTGAGTTTCAACTGGGAACCTGAAACCTGTGGCGATTGGAGGGTTTCATCTGCCCTGACTTCAAATAACATAGACTGTAGATAGTAGATATTTTAGGTATGGAAATACCTTTGAGTTGCATTTTCCGATACCTAATCTACATTCATGATAGCTTTGGCTTTCCATATCAACAAACCTCGACTTGACGTCGGGGACGGTCCCCTTGGCCACAAGGCTTTTGATCTCTTCGTCGGTCTTTTGGATCTTGGTTTCCAAGTTCGCAACCTGCTGCACCGTCGAGAAAACGTTAAAACATGGGCATGAATGCTGGGACCCAATAAGAAAAAAACATGTTCCAAGAGAAAAATAGGGGTGCCATGTTTAATTTAGGGGGATTGAAACAACCAAGAAAAAAAGATAAAGTCTGCCAACTGGCAACCGTAGCAAAACCATACATACCATATCATACCATACCCAAATTCCAGAATCTTACTGTGGTATATTGCTGTTTGTTTGTTTCTTAAACATTCTTAAACACAGTACAGTTATGGTCCTTTACCAGTTATAAGTACTTGTAACCCCATTTATAGAATGTATAATCCCATTTGTAACCAGTTATAACTAGAAAATGGCCATAACTGTAACAAGGATCATTAGCTAACTTAATTGGTGACCTATTTTTTCACGCAGAAATGCAAGGGCGCCCCTGCGGTCTCACCTCAAGTGGTTGATGACCATAGTTATAACATGTGGATGAGATAACCTCTAAATTAACATAGCTATGGAAAATGAGCCATAGAAAGTTCGTTTAGAATTGACCTATTATATTTCAATGGTGATTTTCCATGGTTTTTTCTTGGTTTACCTATTATCTAATGGTGATGTTCCATTTTTAATGGTTGATTTACCTATTATTTTCCATAGAATGAAAGTTCGTTGGTTTACCAGAGGGTCACCCAGGGCGTACCGATGATGATCCCCTTCCGGATGCTCCGGGATGCTTCAGGGCGCCTGTTCCTCAATGCGAGCAGATGCCTGGCGCCAGTGACGTGACTGGGCCGGATCCAACGGCTGCACCTGTCTGGTAAGACATATGCTGCTTGGTTAATAATAGTGATTAATGGTGGTTAATGGTGTTTAATAGTGATTAATAGTGGTTAATAGTGGTTTATAAGTGGTTTATAGTGGTTGATAATGGTTAACTGCTTGGTGGTTTTTCGCCACTCCTCTGAAAAGTGATGGAGTTCGTGAGTTGGGATGATGACATTCCCAATATATGGAAAAATAAATTTCATGTTCCAAACCACCAACCAGCATATGTAACACACATATTTATATCATATGCATCACTTACGTCACTTACATGAGGTGTTCAAAGCCAGCTTCAACTGTTAAAGGCTAAAACGCTACAGCATGAAATTCAACGTTGGACTCAGCAGCTATGTGGCGTCCAAAATCAGGCTTGCACAAAGCTACTGTACAAGGCCGGGCCGACCAGTTTTGTCTGTTATTGGCGTATAACACCCATGAAAACTATGTTTATAGTTATATACTGTACATATATATAATATATATATATATATAGAGAGAGAGAGAGAGTTGTATACATAAACCACATTTATTGGAGTTTTGTTCACCAACTTCGCGATTTAGTTTACGGGGGGGGCGAGATTGTAGAACCAACTTTAGGATGACTCCCATGTCAACCTGTCAACCATTTTGTTTGTGGGGCTTGGTCGGCAGCGCAAGGCTGCAGGAAGATAATGTGCCGTGCCAAAGATTGAACCACATGTTTATATCATGATTCATGTTTATTATATCCCATGTTTCTCCCTAGTTCATCAACTTCATAGAATAAAAACATACAGTAAAAATTCAATACCTGCAATATTATGTATAACAATCTCAACCAATATGATGCTGTTTGTATGTTAGCGATGCTGTTTGCTGCTCCGACTTCGACCGTCTCAGTGCCCTGTCGATGGGGCTAAACCCCAACGTCAAGCGTGAGGATCCTGACATCGCCACGGCGCATCTCCGGCATTCCATTGAAGGTTCTTTGGTCTCTATCCGCAAAGGGGCGGATAGCTTTTGTATGTTGTTGTTCTAGTCTCTTCCAACAACCCATATGCTCCATGGAATATTGATCAGCATTTGCCCCGAACCCAAATGATCCCAAATGTATGTATAGATATATACATGGAGCATCTGGGCACAACAATTCAACCACAGAAAACTCTTGGAAGGTCATGAAACATCAACCCGAGCCGCGCCCTAGACTTCACCTCTGAGAGACTTGGTGCTTCCTTGGCCGCAGGCTCTTCCTGGCCCAACAGGAAAGTCAACCAGCTAACACGGTGATTTAAGCGAGAAAAACAAACGGAAACCATGTAGTGTCGTGTGCTTTTTCTATCAAAAAACGCACATATATATAATTTTAATATATATATACGTATATATATATGTATACAATACATATATATATAATTTTAATATATATATATACGTATATATATACAATACATATATATATATATAAATAATATATATATATTCGTATACACGAGTTCCATATAGTTCCATAGTAAGAGGAGTCGTAAACCATTGAGTACAGGTGATGATGGTGAATATATGATGGAGATCTACAGTCGGATATAAACATCGTTCACGGCAGGTTTCCTCGAAATATGGATGAATTTGCTGAACATAACTAGGCTATACAAAAGGAAGGATGAACATAAAGCAACTTATCACTGGCCCATGAAAAACAAATAAGAATCCATGTTAAGTACTGGGTCAAATATTTGGAAAATGCCTCAAGTAAGCACGGAAATATTCAACCTTGGGACTTTGGTATATCTTAATATACTTTTAAATACGATTGATGTCGTGTATATATCGTATATATCATATAGTTGTGCTCTTTCACAAGAGATTGAAGATGTTCCACGGGAGATCACCCTGGAGCTGGAACCGAAAAACCGAGTTCACTTTCCGACCACCGACCACCGACGACATGCCGAAGTTGGCTCAGGATGTTTCAGGTGACAAATCGAAACTATTTCTTTTGGGCTTACCCACTTGTACCATCCCGTGCTCCTTGGCCATGCCAAAGAGACGTCGCATTCCGCTAGACAGCCTAGACAGATCTTTGACAAGAAATGAGGGTTTCATCAGCAGTGGAAATCAACCATCAAACACTGGAATTCAACTAATTGAAGCAACTAGTTTGTGATGATACACAATTGGGTCTTCATAATTACATGCAACTGGGATATGGAATAATTAATTTGAAATAATTTGAATATAGCCTACATTTGGGTGATAAATTAGAGGCAAATGTTGATACATATTCCATACATGGAGCAATTGGGTATGTATGTATGTATATATATATATATATTGATATTGGGTAAGTTAGTTGGTTTGACTACCAAGGATTTAAGGCAAATACACGCGAATACATCCACAGCTGGGTGAACATCAAGGTAATGAAGGCTACAATATGGGGCCTGCACACGAAATCGCTAAGTTGGTCGACACAACTCCAATAACATAATGTCTATGGTTCATGATACTTATATAACTATAGTTTTAATTTTGGTTTATGATACTTATAACTCTATTTTTCAAGGGCTGCATAAACCAAAAAACATCACGTTAACTATAGGGTTTAAGGGGGTTATAGACCCAACGTGTAACTATGGGGCACCACATTGTAGGCATTTACTCGATTCCAAGAATAGTGCGAATATGTCAGAGGATCATCTAAGGCCCTTAACAGCTATAGGACTGTAGCTCCTGCAACTGAGCTTTAAAATCATATCACTTGAATGAGATCGTCTAAGCCACTTATAACTGTGAAAAGGATTAATCTACAAACCACTGGATCACTGGTGATGCAGCAACTGTCAAGCCTGGCGCCGTGCGGGCAGCTTGGAAGTTCAAAATCAAATCTGGGCTTTCGGAAAGGTGAAAAAAAGCTGGTGTTTGGAGTTGTTACGTGCTTTGATTCCGATCTTTTCCGTGTCCTGGCGTTGGTGTTGGAGGATTTTGTCAGCTGGCTTCAACTGTGCGATGCTGCTGCAAGTGCTGGAAGCTGGTAGCCCAAATGGAAGATCAAACAGGAGAGGTGGAGCGAACAAAAATGACAGACATCCATGTGCATGTAAACATGCCCTGTTCGTGTCTTGGAAAAAAACACAACATGCAAGATATATCAAGATAGGGACTATCTTTAACCACTATTCATCACTATTAATCACTATTAACCACTATGAAGAATCATTAACCCCGATCATTACCCTCTGGTAATTTAACATAGCTATATTGAAAATGGTGATTTATAGTGGATTGACCTGTCAAAGATGGTGATTTTCCATAGGTTTTTTGTAGGTTTACCCGAGGCGTTTCACTCCCGAGAAATCTGCGTAAGGGACATGGATCTCCAGGCGCAAGCGGCGGTGGTTCACCCCAGGATATATCCTGATAGTTATGCTGGTAGGGTACCCGGCCTGGTAAACATACAAAAAGCTATTGAAAATGGCCATAGAAATAGTGGATTTTCCCATTAAACACGGTGATTTTCAATAGCTATGTTAAATTAACAGAGGGTAACTTGTTGGTTCCATGGGTGAGTCACCCAGTTATCACTGGGCTAATATGTTAATAACTGATCATATTCACGATATCTCACGATGGTTAACCACCAAGTAATCCCTTTTCGCATTTGCTTGTTGAGCTCTCCTACATGACTCCTGAGCTGTACATCTGTACATCTGGTGGCACACACTAGTTTCCAAGGTGCCAGAAAAGGGAGCCTTCCCCGTGTGTGCCATGGTCATTCTTGCCCTTTCCGCCCTTTGCAAAGCACAAACAACTAACTAGCATCAACTATGCATGCAAGAAATATTGCCGGATATAAAAAAATATCAATTATCTAATTAACTAATATATTAATATTATAATATACGTATGTATGTATGTATATATATATATATATTATATTATACTGTGTAATGGCCCCGAACAAGATAGACATGAAACAAACTCATGCACTAACTTGTTGTATCTTTATGGGGTTGCTATAAACTCTCATCAAACATTTCCGACCAAGGCACATTTCTGACCCTGGGCCAACATCCAATTCCAACTTCACCTCTACCTATATCCTCTATGAAGCTGTGCATCCAATTAATCATTCATCAATCCAAAATGGGCGTTCATCAATCATAAAATCTTCATGAACCTAAAAAAATGGCTCCATTTATTGGGGGTCCATGCGTGTTTTTTAGAGAGCAGCATGTTTCCTCCTGTGAGCTGATAGGCAACTGCAGATGTTGACCTTCGGCATGGCTCGACAAACTCATGTCCAACGGCGAACGATGCAGCCGTGACAATCACCAATGTCTTACGCACCGAAGGCGGCCGCAATTTTGCGGCACATCGGCATTATTTCAAGTTGACAGTTCTTTGATCAATGATCAAAGGATAAGCTCATCCGCATCTAAAGATCTCAGAACTGCACTGGTCTCAGAATCTGTAGGGAAAGCCAACTATGATGGTTTTGACTGATGTTGTTTTCAAATATGGATCTATTGATATCCCCAAACCTGGTTTGAGGCCGTCGGCCTTCGATGGCCGTTCCAACATCCATCATCATTCATGAGGCCACGGCCCATAGACGACGCAATTGGTTTTTGCATTAAAAAAAAAGCCCCGCCATGATATACCCCGAAATCCCTAAAAATTGATATGATCCCATCATTCTTAGCTATGATATGGCCATATATATCCAGGCAAATGATATCCCCAAAAAACATCCTCTGTGTCCATTGCTCTCGGGATCTATGGATCAGGAAGAGCCACAGCTCGTGCCTCAGCGAGTCCTGAAAGATGCGAAAAAAATAACCATGGATTGGTTTAAGTGGGGAAAATGTACAGACATTTTCCATTAAACATTTGTTTAACCATGGTTTTTTCCATTCAACATGGGGTTTTCCGGTTAAAATTTTCCACAACAAAGCAATCCATTGAGTCTGACAGCACGGTGAAGGGGATGGATTGAGTACTTCAGGACAACGAACAGTGGTCAAAGGTAGCTAACTTTAACTGGCTAACAATAGCACATTAAATGTGTGAAAAGGTTACATCTGTGTTGTGTTTGTTCAACTTGTTCCTTTTTTATCTTGCTTGTGACCCAATAGAACAAACAAATGGAAACTAGAGTAGCTACCTAACTGATGTAATTTATCTTAGTCTGACTGGATACAACAATAGAAGCAGCACAAGTGGGAATGGATCTACGGGGTGCTGTAAGCTCTACAAATGGAGATATGATTACACAAAAAACACAGATCGGGTTGAACCAGCAGCGAGGAAGACGACCCTCAGCTACTCAAATTGGAGGTACCAGTATCTAACATATGTAAGGTGTACATACGGCCTGGGTAAGTTCTGTCCTACATCTCTATATAATCATGTAACTAGATATTACTATATGACTCTATATATATATATATATGTATATACACGCCTTCATATTTTGCCTTCTAAGGCACGGCAGCTCCATTGGATATTCTACAACGTGCCCAGCCCTAGCTAAAAGTTGATTATATATATATATATATAGCCAAAACATGCCAAAACAATCCAAAACATGCCAAACCATAATTAACTATCCTTTTGGGGGCCCTTTAGCAATCGAAATGGTCCATTGAAAGCAGCTTGATTCTGTCACCTGGATCTCGTGACGGGTGGGAGGCTAGGGCTAGGGCCTATGCGCCAGGTAGGAAACTAGGAAACCTGAGTTTTTCATGCCCTTCAATAATTGCTCAAAATTACTTTCTATGTTAACAGAGTAGCTTCGATTGATACATGCACTTGTTCTATCTTTTTGTCAAGAGACAAGTCAACAAATTGAAACACATGTTACACACATAGCTTTCCAATCATCACTTCTACAATACTTAATCTCATGGGGTCCCTGACTTAGATATCTGGCATCCCTCCTCTCCTTGCCTGCTCCAGCTAGCGTCAGCCAACGCCCTGAGGCTTCCTTGAGGATCAGCCGCCCCCTTGTCGCATTTTGCCTAGGGCTTCTGAACCTACCTCAGGCCCTCACCAGTTGGAGGGCTCATCATTGTTTCTTGCCACCCGAAAGTTGGGAGATGTCTGCGGAAAGAACAATATTCACCCATCGATTTTTCGAAGGTTATCCATCATATTTACGACCGTATTGGCGCGTCGACACTTTCATTCATACGTTTGCTTCATGAGATATCACCCATATTGAGATTAAAGTTAAAAACATATTTGAAACTTATAAGTAAGAGTACCTTGTCGGGAGGTACTCTATGTATGCAGTTATGGCCCGAACATTTATTAATGGAATGACAACTCCATTTATAACATGTTATAACCATTAAAAAAACACTGGTATTTCGGACCATCTCCATGGGTATGGCTCAAAATTCTCCACCACCCCAGAAGTGGGCGGTCTCAGATCCTAAAAACCTACCCAGCTGCCCAATCTCCGCCTCGAACGTCGAGGTCATGTGCGGACTGCACCGCCGGTGTCTTTGGAGCGGGGCCCAGCGCGGCCTAGAGACTTCGAGCGGTTGGGGATGGTGACCCATGGAAGATTCACAAAAACAAATCGGATCTTGAACGAACGAGACTTGATCTTTAACCATTGCGCAAAACACCTTATAGATATCCTTAGATGGGGTCATGCAATGGGACTGCTTCTGAAGGGGGGCTGATGGTTTGACTCTCATAGCAAAATGGGGTTTTGAGTCTATAACCAAGAACATTGGGTTGAAGATTCATTGACCATTCATTGAAACACTGATGATCCAACCCTAGGATCCAAGCCTAGAAACAAAAGATTCATTGAAACATTAATGATGATCCAACCCTAGGATTTCAATGAATCTTAGTTTCTAGTCTATTCAGTGCACGAAAGATTCCAGATCTTCAAACTTCACCCTGGAATGGTGGCCCTCCCACCGCTCAAAAATCGCCTTCAATCGATCCGTTTGCTTCTCATAGAAGCCACGCCTAAACAAGTTCCGCCAGAATGGGTCAAGCTATTGGGGTACCATCCGGGACCCAGGGACCCGTTAACGTTGGTGGTCTTGGCTTAGTAAAAAAAAACTCATGTTCTGTGCCGAATCAAACATGTTGACCACAAATTCACATAATTCACATATGGGCAAATACTCATAGAGAGGTTTGACTGGGATTCTCCGAAAATAGTGTAGCCCATATTCGAACATGGCACAACATCATGCTCCCCAGTAGCATTGGCATAAATTAAGGTACTCTCAGAGTAGTACTCTCTAGTAATTAATCAAGCATGGCTTGGTCGAAAATTCCGCGTTCAGTTGTATAAATGATTTTACCATTTACATGTCCATTTGATTCTCCAGCTAGCAAAGTGCCCAGCAGTTCCACCGCGGTTACCCACTGAGTCACGCAGTCAACATCCAGCCAAGCAGCTTTGTACTAGGCTGCGACTTCAACATCGGCAGCCAATCCTTGTGGGGCCACTCCATGGCAACCCGTTGCCATTCAGAACGTGCGGAAATGGGCCAATTCACCAATTCACAGGTGGACGAAGCAACAAGGGAAGGGCACGGTGCCCGAAACACAGTCCATTTATTTTTTGGTTTCCTAAAGTGGAGGTAACCCCCCCATCCTCCCATTTGTTGAACATTATCCATTGTAAACCATCCATTTTTGGGTATCCCAAACTAGTAGATTCGTTCCGTGAGGTGATGAACATGAACATGTTTCAACCACCCAAAATGAAGATATCACTGACCATCTCAGGAACCGATTTCTTGGAGGTACCTACCATGTATAAGGCCTATATAAGGGCTATGTAAGGGAATATCCCAACAAAATACGGCCTTAGATGGTACAGTACCTTCATAGAAAACCAACAAGTTGAGTATAACTGGTTGGTGGTTGAGCCACCCCTCTGAAAAATATGAGTTCGTCAGTTGGGAAGGATTATTCCCAATATATGGAACAATAAAAAACGTTTGAAACCACCAACCAGATAAAGTCCGCCCAAATCCAACATTCACCAGACACTCGGGGGGAACTTGTTTGAAGAGGTAACATATTACCAATATAGCGTTCCTTGTGGCTACTGCCGACAAAATGGCTTCGAGCAACCCTGCTTAGTGGGCCATGGGATTTTCCGTGTCTGGATCGTCACTGTTTTTTTTCCATGAAGAATACCCAGCTACTAACCATATCTGGTTGGTGGTTGAGCCACCCATCTGAAAAATATGAGTTCGTCATTGGGAAGGATGACAACCCATATATGAAATGGACAATAAAATTCATGTTTGAAACCACCCATCAGATATAAATATAGTTCACTAATCCCATGGCATCTAAGTGCTGCCCAAACGTCAGGTGTTGTCTTTTCCTCCACCTTGACTTCTTCCACCACTGGCAGTGGCGCGGCCTCCGGCGCGGCCGGCGCGGCCTCGGCCGGTGCGATGCTCACGCTGGGTGCCGCCTGTGCCACATCCCGCACCAGGTCAAGGATGTCCTGAGGCGAGGTGAAAAGTTGGAGACATTGAGAAAAACATATGGAAACATCACTTACAACATCCTGGAAACATAACATCATCCCTAATTTTCCATCTCTCAGCTAGATCAGATTTTGGAATATGGAAATTATGGAGGAAACTGAAGAAACACCACTTATGACATCCTGGAAACATGTTTTTTTGGCATCGTTTTGGAAGTTACCATATACGTCATCCCTAACCTTATACAGCTATCTCTCAGACAGATCAGACTTGGGCTAATTCTTACGACTCGTTCTTACCATGAGTTTGGGGTTCGTTGTGGTTTGTACCTAAAATGATAAATCCCCATAAAAACAACGGCGTTTTTGCTAATCCTAAATATCCCTAAATGAGAAACAACATGCCTCCATCGAACGCATTTTACTATCACACATTGCTGAAGAAGCCCTTCCCCCTAACATTCAACACCCCCATTCTACGGTCGCAAATACATGTAAATCACCTACTAAATCGTAGTGGTTCGTAGCCATAGTTATAAAATTTGTTTAAATGGGATAACCCCAGGAAATGGGGACAGCCACTAGGCTTATTAAGCACTTATTAAGTGGGGTGATCCTCCAAGTAGTCCCATCATTTTCCTATTTTTCCCATGTATATTTATATATCATCATTTTTTCCCATTAAATGGGGTGATCCTCCAGGTAGAACCTATTATTCTTGTTGGTCAAATCCCATTAGATCTCCTTAAATTCTTCTGAGTCCCCTTAAACCTCATTAAACCACAGTAAAATTCCCATTCAACCCCACTCAATCCCCTTAAATCCCATGAAAATCCCATTGAAAAACTTTGGTTTTGCCACGTGCCCTTTGCGCGTTCCTTGGGCAGTTCCGCCTCTGGCGCAGAGGGCGACGGCATCTCGGGTGCCTCGGAGGGTGCTTCATTGGCCACGTCGGCCATCTCAGCCACTTCGATCGCAGCTAAGATGTCACCTGATTCCCCAGATGTTGAGGAGCTATGGGGTAAAGCGCAGAAAAAAACCTCATCTTCCAGATCTTCCAGTTAGCTGTCAGATATAGATAAGCATCATCAAGAACATAAAGTAACAGGTTACTTATCTATCTTATCTGAAAGGTGACTGGAAGATGAGGGCCAACTAAATATTAATCACTGATCTCGTTTTAGGGTCTAGATCCGTGGGGTTTACATCAAGCACCTTTTTCAGCCAAAGTAAGATGTCTCAAAGCAGCCTCAATTGAGACATTTTGAACACTGTCCAAGGTCGACGATGCCATATCGTGTTTCCAAAAACTGCTCAAAATTGCTCGGCATTACCCAAACTTGCCCGACAAAAATGCTCCAAGCTGGCCCGAAAAAACTGCTGAAATTGCTCAAAAGTTTGCTCAAAATTGCTCAAAACTGCTCAAACTTGCTCAAACCTGCTCAAAATTGCTCAAACTTGCTCAAAATTGCTCAAATTTGCTCAAAATTGCTCAAAATGCGTCAAAATGTCTCAAAATGTTTCAACATGGGTCAACAAGTGTTTAAAGGGGTGATGTGCTTGCATATGCAGGTGCGAAAGTTGTCATTACTTGGCATTTCTGTTGCCGGTGTCTATTGTTGCATGGGCTTAAGGTCAGTGTCAATTGTGCCGAGGTCATCCCTGCTGCTACGTTCAGACCCCTCAATCGTCAATTTCAACTGACAGGGATCACTTGTCATTAGATTGGCTGCCATAGTTTCAATTAACGGCCTATCCCGCAAAATCATCATTGCCTTGATAGGAAAAACCTTTCATGCCCACAGTTTCATTTGTTTCATTACTGCCTCTTGGTGATACCACAATCAGATATGAACTTCTGTATTTTTTTTTGGATTTGAAAGGTATCAGATCTAAACCTGACGGATGTACACCCCAAATTGCGAACAGTGAATTAAAAGAACACATGTATTCCCGAAAATGATCCTTTGTAACTTGAGGCTTTTTCATGCCACACCAGGGAATAACTCTCAATGACAGTCTCAGTACAACCCAGAACTTGGAGCTTCAGCACCTGTGATGATCCTGCCGCGGGCTTTTCGGTTTTCGAAACAAGTAGGAGATGACATTGCTTTGAGAATAAGCTACAGTTATGGCCCAAAATAGCAGTTATAAGTACTAAGAAAACCCCATTTATAGAATGTATAACCCCATAGAAATAACCAGTTATAACTAATAGCCATGGCCATAACTGTACTAAACTTAATCAAATGATATCAAACATGATGCTTTTTTCATCTTTTTCATACGCCAAACTGGCTGGGAAATCCACCATTTTCAGGTGGATGCGTGGCCTCAGCGACAGATGTGGAAAACACAAGGTGTCCTTAAGATAATCTGGTTGGTGGCTTTTTCGCCACCCTTCTGACAATTATTGGAATATTATTGGAATATATACTGTTAATAATGGTTAATATTAGTGCTTTATTATATGGTTAAAGTTAATGATGGTTAATAATAATCTGGTTGGTGGCTTTTTCGCCACCCTTCTGACAATTATTGGAATATATACTGTTAATAATGGTTAATATTAGTGCTTTATTATATGGTTAAAGTTAATGATGGTTAATAATAATCTGGTTGGTGGCTTTTTCGCCACCCTTCTGACAATTATTGGAATATTATTGGAATATATACTGTTAATAATGGTTAATATTAGTGCTTTATTATATGGTTAAAGTTAATGATGGTTAATAATAATCTGGTTGGTGGCTTTTTCGCCACCCTTCTGACAATTATTGGAATATATACTGTTAATAATGGTTAATATTAGTGCTTTATTATATGGTTAAAGTTAATGATGGTTAATAATAATCTGGTTGGTGGCTTTTTCGCCACCCTTCTGACAATTATTGGAATATTATTGGAATATATACTGTTAATAATGGTTAATATTAGTGCTTTATTATATGGTTAAAGTTAATGATGGTTAATAATAATCTGGTTGGTGGCTTTTTCGCCACCCTTCTGACAATTATTGGAATATTATTGGAATATATACTGTTAATAATGGTTAATATTAGTGCTTTATTATATGGTTAAAGTTAATGATGGTTAATAATAATCTGGTTGGTGGCTTTTTCGCCACCCTTCTGACAATTATTGGAATATTATTGGAATATATACTGTTAATAATGGTTAATATTAGTGCTTTATTATATGGTTAAAGTTAATGATGGTTAATAATAATCTGGTTGGTGGCTTTTTCGCCACCCTTCTGACAATTATTGGAATATTATTGGAATATATACTGTTAATAATGGTTAATATTAGTGCTTTATTATATGGTTAAAGTTAATGATGGTTAATAATAATCTGGTTGGTGGCTTTTTCGCCACCCTTCTGACAATTATTGGAATATATACTGTTAATAATGGTTAATATTAGTGCTTTATTATATGGTTAAAGTTAATGATGGTTAATAATAATCTGGTTGGTGGCTTTTTCGCCACCCTTCTGACAATTATTGGAATATTATTGGAATATATACTGTTAATAATGGTTAATATTAGTGCTTTATTATATGGTTAAAGTTAATGATGGTTAATAATAATCTGGTTGGTGGCTTTATTGCCACCCTTCTGACAATTATTGGAATATTATTGGAATATATACTGTTAATAATGGTTAATATTAGTGGATATTATATGGTTAAAGTTAATGATGGTTAATAATAATCTGGTTGGTGGCTTTTTCGCCACCCTTCTGACAATTATTGGAATATTATTGGAATATATACTGTTAAGAATGGTTAATATTAGTGGGTATTATATGGTTAAAGTTAATGATGGTTAATAATAATCTGGTTGGTGGCTTTTTCGCCACCCTTCTGACAATTATTGGAATATTATTGGAATATATACTGTTAATAATGGTTAATATTAGTGCTTTATTATATGGTTAAAGTTAATGATGGTTAATAATAATCTGGTTGGTGGCTTTTTCGCCACCCTTCTGACAATTATTGGAATATTATTGGAATATATACTGTTAATAATGGTTAATATTAGTGCTTTATTATATGGTTAAAGTTAATGATGGTTAATAATAATCTGGTTGGTGGCTTTTTCGCCACCCTTCTGACAATTATTGGAATATATACTGTTAATAATGGTTAATATTAGTGCTTTATTATATGGTTAAAGTTAATGATGGTTAATAATAATCTGGTTGGTGGCTTTTTCGCCACCCTTCTGACAATTATTGGAATATTATTGGAATATATACTGTTAATAATGGTTAATATTAGTGCTTTATTATATGGTTAAAGTTAATGATGGTTAATAATAATCTGGTTGGTGGCTTTTTCGCCACCCTTCTGACAATTATTGGAATATTATTGGAATATATACTGTTAATAATGGTTAATATTAGTGCTTTATTATATGGTTAAAGTTAATGATGGTTAATAATAATCTGGTTGGTGGCTTTTTCGCCACCCTTCTGACAATTATTGGAATATATACTGTTAATAATGGTTAATATTAGTGCTTTATTATATGGTTAAAGTTAATGATGGTTAATAATAATCTGGTTGGTGGCTTTTTCGCCACCCTTCTGACAATTATTGGAATATTATTGGAATATATACTGTTAATAATGGTTAATATTAGTGCTTTATTATATGGTTAAAGTTAATGATGGTTAATAATAATCTGGTTGGTGGCTTTATTGCCACCCTTCTGACAATTATTGGAATATTATTGGAATATATACTGTTAATAATGGTTAATATTAGTGGATATTATATGGTTAAAGTTAATGATGGTTAATAATAATCTGGTTGGTGGCTTTTTCGCCACCCTTCTGACAATTATTGGAATATTATTGGAATATATACTGTTAAGAATGGTTAATATTAGTGGGTATTATATGGTTAAAGTTAATGATGGTTAATAATAATCTGGTTGGTGGCTTTTTCGCCACCCTTCTGACAATTATTGGAATATTATTGGAATATATACTGTTAATAATGGTTAATATTAGTGCTTTATTATATGGTTAAAGTTAATGATGGTTAATAATAATCTGGTTGGTGGCTTTTTCGCCACCCTTCTGACAATTATTGGAATATTATTGGAATATATACTGTTAATAATGGTTAATATTAGTGCTTTATTATATGGTTAAAGTTAATGATGGTTAATAATAATCTGGTTGGTGGCTTTTTCGCCACCCTTCTGACAATTATTGGAATATATACTGTTAATAATGGTTAATATTAGTGCTTTATTATATGGTTAAAGTTAATGATGGTTAATAATAATCTGGTTGGTGGCTTTTTCGCCACCCTTCTGACAATTATTGGAATATTATTGGAATATATACTGTTAATAATGGTTAATATTAGTGGATATTATATGGTTAAAGTTAATGATGGTTAATAATAATCTGGTTGGTGGCTTTTTCGCCACCCTTCTGACAATTATTGGAATATTATTGGAATATATACTGTTAATAATGGTTAATATTAGTGGATATTATATGGTTAAAGTTAATGATGGTTAATAATAATCTGGTTGGTGTTTTTTCGCCACCCTTCTGACAATTATTGGAATATTATTGGAATATATACTGTTAATAATGGTTAATATTAGTGCTTATTATATGGTTAAAGTTAATGATGGTTAATAATAATCTGGTTGGTGTTTTTTCGCCACCCTTCTGACAATTATTGGAATATTATTGGAATATATACTGTTAATAATGGTTAATATTAGTGGATATTATATGGTTAAAGTTAATGATGGTTAATAATAATCTGGTTGGTGGCTTTTTCGCCACCCTTCTGACAATTATTGGAATATTATTGGAATATATACTGTTAATAATGGTTAATATTAGTGGATATTATATGGTTAAAGTTAATGATGGTTAATAATAATCTGGTTGGTGTTTTTTCACCACCCTTCTGACAATTATTGGAATATTATTGGAATATATACTGTTAATAATGGTTAATATTAGTGGATATTATATGGTTAAAGTTAATGATGGTTAATAATAATCTGGTTGGTGTTTTTTCGCCACCCTTCTGACAATTATTGGAATATTATTGGAATATATACTGTTAATAATGGTTAATATTAGTGGATATTATATGGTTAAAGTTAATGATGGTTAATAATAATCTGGTTGGTGTTTTTTCGCCACCCTTCTGACAATTATTGGAATATTATTGGAATATATACTGTTAATAATGGTTAATATTAGTGCTTTATTATATGGTTAAAGTTAATGATGGTTAATAATAATCTGGTTGGTGGTTTTTCGCCACCCTTCTGACAATTATTGGAATATTATTGGAATATATACTGTTAATAATGGTTAATATTAGTGGATATTATATGGTTAAAGTTAATGATGGTTAATAATAATCTGGTTGGTGGTTTTTCGCCACCCCTCTGAAAAAATGATGGAGTTCGTCAGTTGGGGTTGTGACATTCCCAGTATATGGAAAAAATCATGTTCCAAACCACCAACCAGTAATGATCTGCCAACGGTGTGTATTTTTTTCCGGTAACTTCACCCTGGAATATGTCTTATATCTTGGAACATTTAGAACAACACATCCCATCCGCTGGCGAATCATCTAATTTCAAGTTATGTTTCACATCTATTGTGGTTGTTAAGATCATCACAATCACTGGAAAGCAGGTTATTTATAAGTTTAGATACGAATCAAGATGCAGCAACAAAACAAAACTGCAGGATATGGAGAAACATCATGAGTTGTCGCCCAAGTGGCATCTATCGGATCTATCCGATCTGCATCGTCATTGATGTCCTGCAATTGGTGCCATGCTCTGTCTGCATCTCCATGGTTTTCTCGAAGACAAGTTGTGATCTTCTCTTCGGACAGCTCCGGTAGCAGCACTTGCATAGCAATGGCAGCACTTTGAATCTTCTGGTCCCTGACCGCAAAGACCCCAAGAGTCAACAGTATATTCCAAAACCCTCAAGAACAAACAAACATATCATTATATAATATATATATAATCTATTATCATATGTATATTATATGTGTACATATGTAAATCCTTCTCCTATAACAAACTTTCGGCACTTAGACACTGGCCATTTGCATGGGTATATTTCGAGCTATTCTACAGTTCATCTGCCCAAAGTGGATGATGCATCGCCTTTCGGCAGCATGTTTCGCCCAGCGATTCTGCTGCACCACTGTCATGGCGTCGCGATGTAGGCTGTCGCGTGGCGTCGCGATGAGTTTACGCTGTGGCTGTCGCTGGGAAAGCTTCACTGCTTCGCGTTCCAAATCCAAACCTGATCCTGGCAAAACCAGAACACGTGGTGCCGACTTGTCATATTTTGTTTGGGTGGGCTATCATCTGCTTGTTGAGCCGACTTGTCAACTGCTCAGTCCTTGGAGCCAGCAATAAAGTCACATCTCCAAACTTCAACCTGCTGAGCCAACATATGTCTGAAAATAGGATCCTCAAAAAGCTTTGGGTAAATCCACCATTTTCTGACCCGAATGGATTGGGATAGACCCCAGGTACCCACACATTGCAAAATTTGTTCATCACATGCTACAAGTCTAACCTCTGGTAAACAAACATAGCTATTGGAAATTTATAGTTGATTTACCCATTAAAAATGCTGATTGTCCATAGTTATGTAAACGTTTACCAGAGGGTAACAATTTCTTAGTTGGGACAAATGGGTTTATCCATCAAATCCCCAAGAAGGCTACATCTCCATGTATTTGGTTACTGTCCATCCAGTAGATATTCCATACATGGCGCATATGGGAAAGCCACTGAATACCATGACCCCAGACAGCTACAGAAAACCCACAAACATTGTGACGCATGCCGCGTATGTTTATATATATATATATTATGTATATATATATATATATTATTATGTGTATATATATATATTATGTATATATATATATATTATATGTGTATATATATATATATATATTATATGTGTATATATATACGGGGCAACTAGAGAACTACCCAACTTCCAAGGTGATCCTAAAATTGAATGCCCATGCAAATTGATGGGCATAAGGTCCAGACCCTTATTGAACAGTATAGTTTCCCGGAGCCAACTATGGGACAGAGAAGTCAATCTAATTATCTGTTCCATGTCAGGGGTCATCAATCCGTTGATAGGGATTTATATACAAGGATTATGTCGGATTCTCACTATTGGATGGATGTCCATAGATCATATATATATATGTCTACACACCATGTTATGATCCTAGCACATATGTGTATTATTGATACAGAGAAAAACAGCTGCACATCCATTATTGCCATATATATATATATGTCTGTATGTATATATATATATATGTATATATATATATATGTGTGTGTGTTAATATATATATATATGTGTGTTGTGTCCTCCCACTGAGCCACATCCCTTTGCTATGTCAACCACAAATCAGCTGACCTTCATTATATGAGCAACCTGATGGTCGATAACCAAAGCCCGGAAACTTGACATGGAACCAAGACATTGCTATGATATTCAACATATTCAACCACACTTTTGGGGGATTCCATGTCAAACTCAGGGGGTGTAAGTGTAGACTCAACTGAGTCAGGTGGTAGATCTTTGTCTACCGATGTCTGCTAAGTCGGTCGATCAGCAGTCTGTTCCCTGTACTTGTTGACTAACGCAGCAAGACATGTCTCAAGGATTCTACAGTAGCCAAGTACTTCAAGAATCTTCAAGATATACTGTACTTCTTCGGATCATCCCATGTGCTTCAAATGTTTAACGCTCAGAAAGAATACTAGTCAATATATCCTAATCTACGAGTCTACGAGTAGGATCCAATCGCATTCAGTTCCACTCTGAAGGCTCCAGTCACATCCAAAAAACCATCGTATTCGATTTGAAATACCATCCGAAACAGAGATGATTGGATCCCAACTCAACATTTGTCTCAGCACTTTGGCCGTTGTGATATCGTTCACGTTCTTGAAAAAAATCACCCGACTTTGGAGTGCTAAAAATCAGTTGGATTAGATCAGGTTTCGTCCACTTCATCCCATCAATGGATTGGTCTCAGGGAGATGTTTCAGGTTAAAACCCCAACCAATTTGATGAAAAAAAACATAGTTTCCGAAATAGTAGATGTTCCCTTCGACCAATCCATTAAGGCGATTATGAATTGGGATTCCATATGATCCAATCATGAATTTTGGGCACAGCTATATGAACAGTAAGCGTAGTCGCAACATCAGAGGAAGACGACATAACAAACCTTTCTAGATCCAGTGGGTGGTGCCCCGGTTTGTTCGCTATGTTTAGTTCACTCATGTCTTACTGGCTTCATGGTGATTTTTTTAAGCCAACATAAACCAAAAGGTGATGTAGCAAGTGTAGCAAGCCGCCAAGCGGCTTCCAACTCAAGGTTCACCAAGGTTCACCCAACGTCTCATCATTTGGCCAAGGGTTCTAGGCCTAAGCGCAGCATCGCACCAGGAGGACCATTGCAGTACTCTGGCAGCGGTGCCCCGGAGTCCTTGCCGTCGGGGTCGCAGGGATGACACATCCAGAGATTCCTCGCAGCGCGAGATGCTGCCCCAGTGAGCTAAATCGCTCAGGTGGTTTAAAAGTAATATAACCAGTGGTTTTGGTGACTATAAGTATAATTAGGGGGCTGAACCAACTTATAAGTAGGGGGCACCACCCTGTGGTGGGATTTTATATGTGTATATCCCCCATGTGCTACAAATACCATCTCAGAAGGTGTCCGAACCCCAACAACCAGTCTAAGCAGGTGTCTGGAATCACCATGACAAGAATGGTGCACCTGCTTTTTGTGAAAATCAGGATTCCTGTTTTTTACACTATAAACAAGGTGTGGGCGGTGATTTGCAGCAACCCCAAAAATAATGAGTTACAAGCTCCCTATTTTCAAAATGCGTCGGAGCACTACATCACCCAAAGTGCAAGTCCTTAAACTTGGCTGAACCCCTCCTTTCCGTGGTCAGTGTCTTTGCCAAACCTCCGGGTTTAATCGAAAATGTCCACTGCAGCCGCAAGTATCAGCATGGATCACCCCAATGTTCAACCATCTTGTCTGGCTAATAAATGTATGTTTTTTTCGGTGAATATCCGCATGTTCGGGTGCTCAAACCACCATCATTAGCATTTGTTTTAATGTGGTACCCCTAGTTATATAATATAATATAATATAATATATATATATGGGTAAATTCTAATAATTCACCAACCTGAATTAAGGCCATTTGGGGATGCTTTCCCTTTCTAACCATGATTCCAGTGAGGTCACAGTGAGGTCGTTATAATTTACACAGATATATATATAAATAAATAAATATAAATATATATATATATATAATTTTTATATATATATATATATATATACGAACTATAGGATATAAACCATCTTGGCTAACTACAGCGCTCCACCTTGTATAACGATCAAGAAGCGTGGATGTTGATCCATCAACTCGCATGGCACATGTTGAGACCAAGAGGCATGACATACCTCGGTTCCACACCGTTGTGTACCACCTAGCATGGCCGAACTGAGAACAGCAAACCATTCCCCCAAATACCCCCAAATACCCCCAAATACCCAAATCTCAGAGAGAGAGAGAGAGAGACAGAGAGAGAGAGAGAGAGAGAAAGAAAAACATACAAACACCTATATTAATAATGTATATATATATATATGTATATAAAGTAGCATTAAGTAAACACCTCCATCTAAGCTGTTTAAATTGCAATTTGTTATATTTTTTTCTTGAAAAGGTGGACCAATAAATCCCTACTGATATATAATGATAATTTGCTTTGCATCTTTTGGGGGATTCATTGGCGATGACAATACTTTTGGCCGGAAAACTTGAACAGATTTATTTGGTGTCTAAGCCACGAACATGGGATACTGTGCAACAGCCAACCTTTAAATTGCATGCAATTACGTTACATGGATGGAACAACACAAAAACATCAATAACAACCATTTGTTTGCCAACTGTTTGTTCACAACTGAAAAGATTCAACTCCAGTGATGGGTAACTGCTGTACGCGTCTAACTCCGCAAAACTACATCTATACCCTCTGGAAATCGATGAAACATCAGGAATCCAGCAGTTCTCATCCACCAACGAAGATTTCGACGAAAAACTCAGGGGCCCCCGGGAATCATGACTCCAATGACTCCAATGACGCCTGATGGATGAAGGTATCATCAAAAGCGATGACTTTTCCTTCTTCCCACCTCAGCACCTCATAGCCCACCTGGGTGCCAGGTCACTGAGGCGAAGCTGCACTGACCCAACATGTTTTTTGCCAACGTTTAGCAACGAAAAAACAAAAACAATTGGCAACAATTATGCCCAAGAATAATCCAGTGATCCAGTGATCCCCTAAATCTATATACAATATATATATATATGGATGGATGGATGGATGGATGGATGGATGGATGGTATGTATGGATGTATGTATATATATATATATGTATGCCGTTCGAGTTGAATAAACTTCAATACCAGGAACCGACATTGTGATCTCGCCATCGGGAATGATCAAGCCCAAGTGAACACTCAAACCTCAGTGCGATGCGCAAAATCCGTCGCATCTCAGAGAAATCTCAAGTATCCATAATCCACTATACAAATGGAAACATGCCACATCCTGAGTGGTGCATCAATCTACCTGACTCGACTTAGATAATTGGCAATTTAACACGGGTATAACATCGTAGATGAATATATATATATATATGAATATATATATATATATACACCCATGATATTATATATATATGTACACCCATGTATATCCAGTATAATTTATCTAATTTCTAATAAATTTATGTATATAAGTGTTGATACTTATTTAAAAAAAAACTGTTGTCCCATTCATGGCCAAAAGATCAACACAAAGTGGTGACCCAGTAGTAAACCATCCCCTAGTTTACTGTAAAATACTGTAAAATGGTTGGTATAAATTACGGTATAAACCATCAATCCATATATGGCTGCTTTCCTGACATATCTGACATGAGTTGGACACCTCTATTATTGCTGACATTATTAGTGTTTGCTTCAGCTTTGATATGTTAGCAAAGTTGTTTTTTAAGTATGTGAACTAGACTTGATGGTGACTATTATAGTATACATTAGTATACTATAGTTGGGATAACATCAACCAACAAGATTCCAACAACGAGAACACAACAATAAGTCGCTTGTCACAAGGTTTTTTCTTTCCGCGTCCAAGTTGCGTGGAGCATTGCCAAAGTGCGGCTTCAGTCGTCCTCCAGGACGCATCCGCAGAAACCCCGCACCGGACGCAGCTTGCTTGCCTGGGACGGTCACTGAACCGGCCATGGGAGTCGTCAAGTAAAGTTAGTGCCCCAGGCTAGATTTCAGAAGAGTATAACATATGATAACATGTTATAACTTAAAACATGTTAGAACCCATTAGATACCCACTAATATGTTTTTTTCCAGCTACTAATCAGAAAACGAATCCCATGGCCCGTTTTGGTTTAGTACCATGGCACCCCTATAGATGTTCATGCCCAAGAAGATGCCATCGAACAATCATAGGATTTGTCTAGGGCTATGATCCAAAAGGAATCCAAAAGGCCTAGCAAATTCCCAAGAAAATTCCAAACAGAACCTCCAGGATTTTTATTTGCCAGGTGTCAGTTGCCAATCTCTGGTCGCTTCCGCAAAATCTCACAGGTCCGCGGCGCATGGGCGCAGACCTCCGGGATGGCTTCGCCCTTGCGAAAGAGATAGGCCGTGAGCCAATCGTCACCCCGGGGGCCAAACTGCGTCTCGGCATTGCGAGTGCTGGAGTCCAAATCTTCAAAGGTGGTTCCGGCCTGGAATTCTGAAAGTGGGGAGATTAGAACTTGGAGAGCTGTGCAATATAGATGTGCAAACTGTGAAGACATGTCACTTAAAGACAATACAGGGGTATATACAGTATATACTTATGAGATCTTATGAGTATATGGTCAATGATGGTCAATGGGTCTAATATCATAAGAACAGTTTTAAGAACAGGAACATGCATGTACATACACACACACACTGTATTCACAGTCACTCTGCCTTCATTCTAGATATTCATTGAAGTTCACAGTCACACTTGCGGAACAGCATTGATTCAGCTGGATATTCATGGACCTTGCTGACTCAGAATATACATGAATATACAATGTCCAAACATATCATCTGAAGCCAACATTGTTTTCAAAAAATGAAGCATCGCTTCTGGTGGCTTGCATGCAATGGAGGTCGAAATTCTGCCTCAGAGAGATTTGGGCCTCTTTGAGGTGCTCAACGCTGATTTGTCCTGATGTTTGAGGTGCTCACCATGGGTTCCAATGTCCAATTGTCGACATCCTTCAAACAAAAAGATCATTTTCTTTTGGCTGGTATGTGTATGTATGTGATTGTATGTGTACAACCCCATTAAAAGCATACTAAAGCAAATAATTACTAAACATGTTGTTTTCCAATTTGGACCCATACCATCTTTTTATTCTCACTTTTGAACGCCCTTTTTGGTCTCGCCTTCAAAATCGCTTCGAGCTCCTCTCGGATCACAGGGTAATTCTCTTCCAACACGCTGGCCACGGGCAGGAGCTGCAGAGGATTCTTCCACACCGGGCCGTGGATCAGGGTCGCACTGGGATAGTAATCCATGTTGAAACTCACCTGAAGCGGAATCGTCTGAGTTGTTGGTTGATTGGTTGGGTGGTTGGTTTAAGGGAACATTTTGAGGAAATCATGGTCTATCATGGTCTTGTCCTGATCAAATGGAGATTGGAGGGGGGCTTAGTACTCTTATCCTTCAGCAAAGTCCGAGACCCTTACGTCCATGAGCCCACCCAAAAACACGGAAAAAACAAAGGGCTGGTGCCAGCATCCTCACAAACGCTGCTCCACCCACTAAGCTGGCTGATGCTAACCCATCCAACTGCGGACATATCCACCATAAACCCGGTGGTTTCAACCCCTCTGAAAAATCTAAAAGTCAGTTGGGATGACTATTCCCAACATATGGAAAAATAAAAAAAATGTTCCAAACCACCAACCAGAGCATAATTAGCTAGCATTGTCATAAGATTGTAATAAACTAGTTCAACTAGTTCAGTTAGCTGACGTTTGGGGGAGCCACATTCCCATGTGGCAACTCGACTCACCACAACACGCCGCTGTCTCACCTCGTGAGTGCTAAAACCTTGTAGCAGCTCAACGTTTGGCAACTCCTTCATTTCACGCAGATAAGCTCCTGGGTCCAAGGAATGCAAGGAATCCAAGACAAACAACTGCTTGGTGACCGGAGGAATGGATGGCAAGCCATATTTTGGGGTATCCGAACTGGCAAAGAAAATGAGTTGGAGAAGACTCACAACCCTGTTGAGTTTGAACGGAGAAGACGCAATACAACACATAACAAGAGTGATTATTCAAATCTGACAGGTCTGACAATTTTCAATCAGTATTAAGCACATAAGTTTGCATTCTTCTGGCCCCCATAAAAGAACGGAGTAAGACCACAAAAAAAAATCTACCAACCATCATTTAGGGCTGACATCTTGCAACGTTTTTCTACCGGAAAGATCAACTGCGCGTGCGGCTTGGAGGTGCATCTTTGCTAGTGGTTCACAAGCATTGCTGGTTGGTGGTTGAGCCACCCCTCTGAAGAATATGAAAGTCAATGGGAAGGATTATCCCATGTATTATGGAAAATAAACATGCTCCAAACCACCAACCAGATTGGTATTGCCCATTTATAATCTTAGATATGGAACATACTATACGTTCTACATACGTTATACATACGTATTTCAGCCAATAAAACTGACCTGGTTCAGCACATCCCACTGGGAAGGAAACCCCTGGATTTCTGGGTAAGAAAATGCCATGGAGATCCATGGCTTTCCGGAAAGTGATCGACATTCATGGTGGGAAAATCCATATGTCATCCACATGTTCCACAGATTTTCCCTAGGAAACTGCCAAGGCTCGGGCTTGGCTCATGAGCCGCGTCCCGGGCACCAGGCTACGCTGCTGCAGCAGGTAGCGACTGGTCTCAGCGGTCAGCAGGAGCAGATAGCGCCAGCGCAGGTGGCACTGCTGGAGGTAAAAGTGGATCCTTGGCACGCCATGGATGGGGATGAGTATAGATGATTATAGATGCAGATGGCTGGCGGCTTGTAGAATGCCTCCAGCTTTTGCTTTCGTGCCTGTGGGGTGGGGTTGGTAATAACGTCTTGTTCACACTGCTTCTGACACGCTCTTGATGCTACGCTCTTCACTTCTTCAAGTACCTTCCATTGCGCACCATTCCCCGTCATTTGTCCCAGGTCGCGGGAACCCAACGTATTGATCGCCATTGGCGAAGTTTGAAATTCTTCATTGGAATCGGTGAAAATTCGCATGAAGGGAAATATGGGATCCAAGCTTCACTCCGAGATTGATACACTGGTCAAACAATGGTTGTACAGAACGTGGACACCTTCATTAGGTCCAAATGATGTCTATAGAAATTTGACTCAAGTCCTGAAACGCATGTGAAACAAGTCTGGCACAAAGAAAATAAAATAAAAAAATGTCGCAGGACTTGACAACTCAACAAAAAAGGACCCAAACACAAATCCTCGAGAAAACACACGCAAAATGAACTCGCCACGGTTGGAAAAACAGGCGGCATTCTGTGAGCCGCTTACCATGTAGATGGATTATGGATTATGGATGATATAGATGGATTATAGAGGATTATAAACAATAAATGAAATAGAATCCAGGGATTACAGACAGATATCCAGCAGTTTATCTGATCTCCACCAGTTTTTCATGGAATTTATATGGGATTTACATATAAAAAAACCATGAAACATATCAGTTACGATAGGGTTTTATAGGGATTGCCGCTGAGAAATGATGGTTGGCTGATTATAGATGATTCTATAACCAATATTGAGTCTTACAAATAGACTATAGATTATGAGTATTACACATATAGATGGGTTATGCATGAATGATGGGGAAAACAATGATAGGTAGAATGATAGGCTTGAGACAGGTCACTTGGTCTATATAATCTTGTTTAAGGCAATCTAGGGATTGTGGCGGATATATTTCTTGTTGGATAGGTTTGTACAAGGGCTGGGATGCGGGATGGTTTCATGATATTTCCGAATCAATCAGGCATGTCATTCGTTTGTGTCCCGCCCTATGGACCCTATAGGGATCCAGGGACTGACGTCACTACTTTCTTCGATGGTCGATGGGACTAGTTAACTGCTTAGTTCGCCTGGGTTGGAATCCATTGTATGTATGCATATATATATACATACAATTATATATACATGTATATATATATATAATTATATATGTATGAATGATCACCCCCCCCATACGACCCCTCCAACATGTTGTGTATATATACATATATACATGTGTATATATATATATATCTATATATTTGCATAGACATATCTACAGTTACATCCTAGGCGAACCAATCAGTTAACTAATCCCATAGTATATCCCATAGTATCATAGGAACTATCCAAATGGATCATCTTTGCATCATCTAAAAATCTTTGGATGCAAAAAATCCATAGAGTTACCGTACCCTCTGGTAAACAGCAACATAACTATGGAAAATCACAATTTTTAATGAGAAAACTCACTACAAATGGCCATGTTCAATAGCTTTTTGTATGTTTACCAGAGGGTAACGTCGACGTCGATGCCAGGCTTCATCTCCATCTTTGGACCATCGCAACCTGCATGTTTCACTGCAAGGTACATCAACTCCGAGGCCTCGCTGAGCCACACAGGTGAGCTGAGAATGGCTGGTACTATCGGTGATGCCCCTAATAGTTAGATAAGTTAGTTTATAACTTATAATGTCATATAAGATCATGTGAGTATGGTTCTTCGCTAGCTAGTAATTACAACCATAGCAAGATGGGGTTATACAATGAATTAGAAGTACATGGGTGTAACCAGCTCGTAGAAGGTAAGCACGCAAATCAAGCTGGTCATGTCCAAATGTATCCCAAAGAGGTGAATGTATCGCAAGCTGGTGCCCGTTTTTGTTAGCTAAGTCGATTTGCAACTAAGACAACTATAGGGTTTATGGTAGATGTACCTGTACTTACTGGGGCTTCTAAACCGACTAAACACTGGGGTTTCGTGGTTTCGTACCACCGTGCTGGATGATTATCCCGGGAACCTAAGATGGAAGATTTGAAACGCACCATCTTTGTGAACCGTTGCCACGTAGCAAGTACTGGATATGTATCTTGTCTATTCTATTCTAGGGAAAGCATATGTATATATATATATATATAACCAACCATTCAACTATATAACCAACCATTCAACTATATAACCAACTATAGAAGGCTATATAACTATTCAACCGTTCAACTATATATGAAAGATCACCAACTAAGGCTAATACATTCAACTAGATGTAGATATATGCTAACTACAGTAAGGCTTATATATAATTATAACAAGATCTTAGTCTATATAACCAACCATTCAACTATATAACCAACTATAGAAGGCTATATAACTATTCAACCGTTCAACTATATATGAAAGATCACCAACTAAGGCTAATACATTCAACTAGATGTAGATATATGCTAACTACAGTAAGGCTTATATATAATTATAACAAGATCTTAGTCTATATAACCAACCATTCAACTATATAACCAACTATAGAAGGCTATATAACTATTCAACCGTTCAACTATATATGAAAGATCACCAACTAAGGCTAATACATTCAACTAGATATAGATATATGCTAACTACAGTAAGGCTTATATATAATTATAACAAGATCTTAGTCTATATAACCAACCATTCAACTATATAACCAACTATAGAAGGCTATATAACTATTCAACCGTTCAACTATATATGAAAGATCACCAACTAAGGCTAATACATTCAACTAGATATAGATATATGCTAACTAAGGCTTATATAATTATAACAAGATCTTAGTCTATATAACCAACCATTCAACTAAGGCTTACTGCAGGCAAATCAGCAGGTCCTGGCCACAAGCCCGCCTCATAGCCAGCTCGCAGGTTTGGTTCGTTGTTTTGCGGCCCTTCCCACCTGCCAGTGCGTAAACCCATCTCCAAACAAGGCGAAAAGATGCGAAAAGAGAAGCCAGCATGAAACATACATGAAAGAAATACCGGGAAAACGTGGCACAATGATGCTGAAAATGATGAGTATATGACGAAATATGATGAGTAAAGTACTGTGCCCCCATAGTTACAATTTTCTTTGACATCCCATTCAACTATATAGTTAACATCATCATAATCCCTAGTTAAACTTCGGCGTCGTTATAAACCAGCTAGCGAACTGGTGACTACGATCTGTCAGGATTGCTGATGGTTGTGGCTCTACAGTCAAGTAGATAAAGTCCTGCTGATCATTTAATGGGACCTCCACTCATCCGCGCAACAAATCATGGTCCCGAACAACACAGCCCCGCACCAGACCCGCGATGCGACTCACCGTCAAACCATTGGGGAAACATGGAAGCATCGACCGGGACTTGTGATCATTCGGTCCTGCCGGTCGTGCTAAAAATTGCTAAATTCAATAAATTTTAGCGAGGTACGGTACAATTGTATGATATGATATGTATAACTGATATTGTACTGATATGTCTGTGTCTGGATAACACTTGACACTTGGCCCATTTACTTTTCACCAGCAAGTTTACCCAGTTCATTCTCACACACCAAAAACATTGGAATTCGAACATGTTATTTATACACTTTAATTTAATTTGTTCTATTAAACATGTAAATATTAAACATACGTAGAAAAACATACCCTGCATGCTAAAATTCACAGCTGCAGGTTTTTCCACCACCAAACTGACAGAGTGCCCCAACTTTCCCATCCCCACCAGAAGAAGTTGTACAAACACATGGCCACAGGTAGTGCCAGCGCTGGCACTTCCAAGGCCATTCGTGCCATCTGCCAGACGTCGCTCTCCAGGGATTGCCAGCTAGAAGCTGCCGCGGCGTTCTCGGGGGATAAGATGTGTGTGTAGAAGACCTGAGCTCAATAGCTGGATATATAGAATATGATATGCATATGTATATATATATATACATATATATATATATACATATATATATATATACGTATATATATATATGTATAGAGCTTACTATATGACATTTCTCAATAGGAATGTCAGGATCCTAAAATAGAATACTGTGCCAGACCAAGGCCATATTTGGGAGGTTATCCCCTCACATAGCCCTGAAATTGGGGATGTATGGTAGCACTTCGAGCACATTGGGATAAAATGTGGATATTCTAATTGGATATTAGTGTATATATATTTATATATATATATATAACCAAAAATAATGTATTAATACACTTAAATAGAAATAGCTATGTATATACATTAATAAGAAATATATGATATGAGATCATCCCCCCATAAATTACCGACCCTGCCATGCTTGGATGACGACTTCCCCCAAAAAGTCAGCGTCCCATCCCATGGGGATGATCAGCAACTACTGGGTACTGGATATGGCTTCCCCGGCTTCCAAGAATTGAAGACCTTCTTGGGTCAACTGGGTACTGGGAGAATTGGTACTACTGGGTACTACTGGGTACTTTGATGGGTACTTTGATGGGTCCATCTCACATTTCAAAGATTTCAATAGCTTTTTTGAACAAAAAAATCGTTCATCAGGACTTCCTCTGGATCATTCACTGATTGGAAAACTCATCATTTGCTCTTGCTATAGCCAAATAGAAGAAATTACCAGGAGATGGAATTGAGGCGAGTGCCCTTCTGCCCTCCCAGAAACAATCAAACATGGCGCATGTTTGCATATAAGGATGTAAGAGCTCATCATCATACTATAGTAGCTCCCACGGAAAATGGCAAAATCCTATACTTAAACAGTGATAAATATGACTTTTTGTCATTTTTGTGGGAGAGGACTATGCAGGAATTCTTCCAGTCGCACACTGAATGGATACGGGGACGGGGATCAACCCATGGGATGCGATGTAAAACTAACCACATGATCTGGTTGGTGCTTTTTCGCCACCCCTCTGATCGTTATTATATGGTTATTATATGGTTAATGATGGTTAATATATATATATAACATATATATATATATATATATGGTTGGTGGTTGGTTTCTACCCCTCTGAAAAATGATGGAGTTCGTCAGTTGGGATTATGAAATTCCCAATAGATGGGAAGTCATACAATTCCATGGTTCCAAACCACCAACCAGATGATATGTGGAGACATAAGCAGCCATAAGCACCCGCAGCTACAGTACCTTTGGGCACCTCCACAAACGGTTTATGGACCTTGTCACACGCTGCTCCCCATAGATTCCTCAAAAGCTTTATGGTCTATTAAATTTGAGGAAACATTATCTCCATGAAACTGAAATCAATGAATGAGCCGACATGTGTATAATTCCATCTGTATCAAAACCGTTTTACCACCAAGCTGGCTCATCTCCGGTGGTGTAATATATCTCACACAACCTTCAGTAATCTAAGACTGCAATGGAAAATGCCACCATTTTTGGATTTTTGTTGTTATCAATTAAATCATATGTGCAAGCGGACAATCTGTAAGTGGAAAATCCACGAGTTCCAGCCAGCTGATTGGATGTGTTTGGAGGCTGGCTAGTTCATCTGCAAGGTCCTGCCCTCCAAGCTATGTTTTTGGTTTCTGTTGCTCCATGTCGTAATAGATATCTTTATCACCCTAAACCCAACGGGTTTGAGTAAACTAAACAAACTCAGCCAACATAAATAAATCACCAATAATAAATCCCAACTTTTGTTGGTGGTGCCGCCATTGTTCATATTATTACCCTCTGGTAAACTAACATAACTATGGAAAATCACCATTTTGAATGGGTAAATCCACTATAAACGGCAATTTTCAATAGCTATGTTAGTTTACCAGAGGGTAAGTTTATTGATGGAATACAGCTATCAACTGGAGCACTCCAAATCTTTCGGGCCGAGGCCAGGGACCTGACCAAAGAGGTTGGACAATTTTTCCATGTTGTCCTGGCTTCGGAAGTGCTGCATCCACTGAGATGATCGATAAAAAATTGGTATCATCCATTGGTGTTTTATGTGGTTAAAACAATGCCATGTTTACCATCCCCCAGTCATCATTGTGTTAACCAGTTAACCACATTAAATTATTTTGCATATGATAGTGTTGTACTGGAATTCACATTGATGATAATTGATCAACAAAATTAATCAAAATTATATCCGGATGTGCTAAATGATGTTTATCAACGAAATGATGACGACCACGACCACGACAAGGACGATGATGATGATGATGATGATGAGGAGGAGGCGGAGGAGGAGGAGGAGGAGAAGGAGACTTCCATCTGCCAAACACGGACATCACCCCAAACATGATAACTAACATGCAAAACTGAATTGCTGGTCTTAAACAGAAAATGTTGGATTGGCGTTTGTATTTCAAACTACACACATGGGTCAACGGTACGGTTAGTTGAAGATCTGGGGGCCCAATCAACATGACCTGAGAATTTTGGGAAAGCTCGCAATTCTGCATTCTCCAAAATCCCTTGGTGAACAACTCGCAATGCTTGCGAATCAGCAATAAACATCTCACATACCGCACTGAAGGAATGCCGTAATGTGGACAAAACCACATGGCAAACCATGGCAAAGTGGGAAAAACGGACGACGATGACGACAACAACGACAACAACAACAACACCACTAACACCAACACCAACAGCACCAACAAAACCAACAGCGCCAACAGCAACAACAACAACAACAACAGCAACAACAACAACAGCAACAACAACAACAACACCAACAACACAAACAACACCAACAACACCAACAACACCAACAACACCAACAACACCAACAACACCAACAACACCAACAACCACAACAACCACAACAACAACAACAACAATGAAACAACAACAAAAAAACAACAATGAAACAACAACAATGAAACAACAACAATGAAACAACAACAATGAAACAACAACAATGAAACAACAACAATGAGACAACAACAATGAAACAACAACAATGAGACAACGACAATGAAACAACAACAATGAAACAACAACAGTGAAACAACAACAATGAAACAACAACAATGAAACAACAACAAAGAAACAACAACAAAAAAACAACAACAATGAAACAACAACAATGAAACAACAACAATGAAACAACAACAATGAAACAACAACAATGAAACAACAACAATGAAACAACAACAATGAAACAACAACAATGAAACAACAACAGTGAAACAACAACAATGAAACAACAACAATGAAACAACAACAAAGAAACAACAACAAAAAAACAACAACAATGAAACAACAACAATGAAACAACAACAACAAAAAAACAACAACAATGAAACAACAACAATGAAACAACAACAATGAAACAACAACAATGAAACAACAACAATGAAACAACAACAATGAAACAACAACAATGAAACAACAACAATGAAACACAACAACAACAACAATGAAACAACAACAACAATGAAACAACAACAATGAAACAACAACAACAACAACAACAACAACAGCAACAGCAACAGCAACAGCAACAGCAACACCAACAGCAACACCAACAGCAACAGCAACGACAACAGCAACAACAACAACAACCACGACGACGACGACGACGAAAACGACCACGACAACGACGACGACACGACAACGACAACGACAACGACAACAACAACAACAATTGTCCGACCGACCGACCGACCGACCGACCGACCCACCCACCCACCCACCCACCCAACCAACCAACCAACCACAACAACGACACAAACAACAACAGCAACAGCAACAACAACAACCACAACGACGACAAGGACAACGATAACGACAACAACAACAACAACAACGACGACAAGGACAACGACGACGACAACGACAACCACAACAACAACAACAACAACAACAACAACAACAACAAGGACAACGACAACGACAACGACAACAACAACAACAACAACAACAACAACAACAACAACAACAACAACAAGGAGGACAACGACAACAACAACAACAACAACAACAAGGACAACGACAACGACAACAACAACAACAACAACAACAACAACAACAAGGACAACGACAACGACAACAACAACAAGGACAAGGACAAGGACAAGGACAAGGACAAGGACAACAACAACAACAACAACAACAACAACAACAAGGACAACGACAACAACAACAACAACAACAAGGAGGACAACGACAACGACAACGACAACGACAACAACAACAACAACAACAATGACAAGGACAACGACAACAACAACAACAACAGCAACAGCAACAGCAACAGCAACAGCAACAACAACAACAACAACACCAACAACAACAACAAAAACAACAACAACAACACCAACACGTAGGCCTACAACGGGTTGGTAGTTTCGACCCGCCAACCAACCCGTGCCTTCGGCATTTCCGGTGGAATCATCATGGCGCGGGTCTAAAACTCAACCCCCTGTTGATGTTAGGCTTTTCAGAAGGCTAGTTCAACATATATGTATATAATTATATACATATAATATATAGATAATATTCTTCCAGTTCCAATCATGTTCCAATCATCCAGCGTTTGCCTTGAACAAGCTTCAATATCATCCTCGTGCGAGAATTCCACGCCACCAATCAGCAAGGGCGGTCCCTTCGCGTCCGCGGCCGAAAGCCACAGCAAGGGAAGGAGGAGCCAAGCCATGCACACGGCACTTGCCTGGGACCTCCAAGCTGGAACTCTAACTGGAAATCATGGAGAATCCTGGATATAGACGTTTCGGAATCTTCTTGGACGTTAAAGACGTTGGAACTAAACTGATAGATATTATATATATAATATATATATATATATATTGATGATAATTGGATGGATGAGGGGCTGGAGACACGTCATTTTAACATGTCCCGCTCCGCGGGGAGTTTTCAGCCACATGGGTTTCGTTATCTGATTTTTAGCGTAGAATTGATGGGACGAGTCAAGAGTGTGTATGAAACCAAACATCAGTCTTGTGTGTTGCATCGAGCACCCTGTGAATGAGGCTTTTTCAGCTGTGGGATATGTTAGGGTCGGTCCATTTGCGATTCCTTGAGTCATTAACTTTGTTTTGCAAATGAAGTTTGATCATTATTGTCAATTATTGCGTTATTTGACTGGTTCTTTCTTCACCGACTTCAATGCCATTTACGCCAGCTGCAACTCACAAAAGGCACGGCGAAACCGGCTTTTTTGTGAAGTGACAGAACCGACATCCTGAGATCAAAGCAGGTCCACAGGAGCTCTAAATGCTGGACGATGATGTTCGAACTGTCATGATGTCATGAAATCAACCTCATATTCATAACCCCCTGGGTTGTTTATGCCAGGGGGGGCTCTCCCAAAATAGTGATACTTTAGCAGCCACATGGGGTGTCAATCCAGGATCGACATTCCTTCAGGATAAACATGGATAAACATGAGATATCTCTAAATATCTCTAGATTAAATAAATATCTCTATTCTAAATATCTCTAAATTAAACATGATGAGCTTTCATGAGATCGATTAAGGCCGAGAAAGAACCATTTTCATAAAGGGATATGTTTTTTTCCCTGGTGATTTTCACACAATTCACCATTGACACCTCCGGTGAGTTTCTCTCAGTTTCCATTTAGTACCCCCCGAACAGCAAGTGTCACAAAATGTCACAATTTTCAGTGATTTTACACCAGGAATACAGTAATCTTCGAGGAAAACAAGGCCCAGAATTATGTCCTCGATTGTTCTCGTCATTCATGGAGTTGCATAACCATACCAAGTATATAGGAATACACAAAGACCCAAAAAGGACACCTTCGAAAGAGGAAAACTAGGATCATTGTTTTTTGAAGGAAAACTATGATCACTTTTCAAAGAGTCACCAATCTGCAGTTGTTGTTCAGGATTTCAATCCCACTGTAAGCTGATTCTGGGTCATTGGCGGCAACAGCGCTTCTCTTTATTCCAGCAGCCGGTTTCGGTCGCTTCATGCTGTCATCAGAGATCGTTCTGCTTCAACCTGCTTGTACCATCCAATCCACTGGATCATCATGATGTTCCCTATCAAATGATTATTTGGGCGGGTATACCACATTATATATTTTCAAACAACCCCAGTTGGTTGGAAGACTTTGATTCTTGTAAACTCACCTCTCTGGCTGGCCACAGTGGCGGTTGCCCGCGTCCCCGATGGCTTTGCGAATTCCGTCTCCACCACTTAGCAGAAGCACACAGCAGTGCCTTTGTGCTGAGGAATCACAATGACTTTCATCCCCGAATCAATACCCTACCGGACCTTACCCAGCAGAAACGTAGATTTGGCGTAGAACTTTTTATGATACTTGGTGGTGCAGCTGCGGGTTTTCATGGGCGAGTTCACCTCCACAAGTTGGAAACATATATACATGTATATATATATATATAACCCCTGTGCCTAATACACTTATAACCGCTACTGCACCCCAAGAACATGCTGTGATGTCAACACTTTGACGAGAATTACAAATATGCTCCAACGGATGCAGTTGACTGAGGATCTGGGACAGTGATCAACCCCATTAGGTCAAGGTATCTACCATAAACCCTACAGTTTTGGCCCTTTACCAGTTACAAGTAATTATAACCCCATTTATAGAATGTATAATCCCATTTATAACCAGTTATAACTAATAAATGGCCACAACTGTACAGAAGTTGCCGCGGTGATAAAACAACTTGACCAAGGAACTCGGGCATCACCTTGTGGATTCGTTATCGATTCACCAGTTGAATTGCTTCCAAAGCAATGATTTGAATATCAATTCATGGTTCACGTGATCTGTTCAAGATTTGTCTACCTACATTTGGGTGATGTTTGATTTCTTCTTGTAAATTGTGCACGTCCCTCCCTATATCCCTATTATTGTAGATTAAATCTTCATTCCGATGGGTCAATATGCTCACTTTTTTCTGGTAGCCATCGCCATTAACTCGCTAAGATACCAAACCTTGCTGAGTTAAAGTCTGCGCCAACTCGTGTGTTCTACGTTTTCAGCATTAAACTCCAATAAACTCCTAATGTTTGTAGGCAACATGTCCTTTATATTTTGATAGCCCCTTTCTTTTGCTGAGATCACTTGTTCAACTTTCAATTTCAACGGAGTTGGAAACCAAAAAAAACAGGAAACATGAGGAAAATCTTGGGAAATCGCCAAAAACATCAGGAAAAATCATGGAAATCCATGGCAAATCCCCGTGTTCATTGTTTTTGTTGTGCTCCAAAAACATGGTGTCACTGCTCAGCGGGGTTTGTAACCTCCAGGCACTCCGGATGCTCCGGAGGCTCCAGGACCTCATCGAAGATGTGGGATGACCTATTGAAACGTCAGGTTTTTTGGGATATCAATTACACTATGATGATAATGGGTTAAATATGGGTTTATCATGCTCCAATAACTATGGTTTATGTTACTTATACCCTCTAGTAAATTAACATAGACCCTGGCAAATAGGACTTGGAAAATTAGTTTCCATTAAAAATGGGTTATAAAATCAGGGTCTATGTTTATTTACCAGAGGGTAGGGAATATTGATGGAATATTTATTGTTGATGCTGTTTTTTTTTCTGATTCTATGAAAGTTGGATGGGAGATAACATATCAATAGGATTCAATAGGCTAACCATCAGCTTTGTCCAATCAAATTCCCATGCTTGCAATATTCCCGATTTTTTTTTCTGTTGATAGCTGAAAAAACAACAACAAAAAAACATCCTTATAAGAATTCACTATATAAGAATTACCCTCTGGTAATTTGTTACATAGCTATTGAAAATGGCCCATTTAGTTCGTGGATTTACCCATTGAAATTGGTGGATCTTTCCAGTTCGTTATGTACACGTTTACCAGAGGGTAAACCTCCATTTTCCTATGGTATGTTCCTATGGTTTTCCTGTGGTTTTCCTATGGTTTTCCTGTGGTTTTCCTATGGTTTTCCTGTGGTTATCCTATGCTTTTCCTATGGTTTTCCTATGGTTTTCCTGTGGTTTTCCTATGGTTTTCTCAACAAATGATTTTTTTTTTCAGCAGCTCATGGGATGAGGATCCGAACCAGGGGGATATCGGGGGGGATAACTGGATCATATATACATATATACACATAGTGTGGGACAATACCAGTACCTATCAAAAATTTGGAGAAATCATGTTGCGATCTCACCTCGCGACATCACTGGAATGACGGGATTTGCAACGGTCGTGCTACCAGTAGCCATAGCCCTACTATCCAGATGGCTTACCCAAAACGGTGTTCCCATTCTCCAGACAATAGCCAGCCACAGATTGAACAGGTACATTCCCATGAAATTCCCATTGCTGGTGATGGAATCCAAATCTATCTGTATTATATATGTACACCATATAATATCTATTTATCTATCTATCCAGCTATCTCTCTCTCTCTGTAAATATATACATATATGAGTAATATCCATCTATTCTTATATATATATGTATAATCATATGTATATATATATATATATACATATCTGTCCATAAATTGAGTCTTACCCTAAACGAAAAAGAAAACACGTGGCATATGGGTTTTACATGGTTTGACAATATATATTATATGTGTGACGTCAATCCTGCATTCATATGGCTGATTGCAGTATTCAGCTAGGGGGTTACCACAAAGTGTCAAAACAAATGGGTTTTATATGGGTTTCACTATCTATATACATATATTATACATATAATATACATATAATATACATATATAATATACATATATAATATACATATACATATATATTGTATATAAAATATACATATACACATATGTGTATATATATACACATATGTATATATATATATATATATAATTATATGTAAATAATATACTGTTGATATCCCCATCATATCCCCACGGAGCGCCTCCCGGAGACGCCGGCGTCACCGTCAGCAGCCCATCCAAGTCCGGTCGTTCGGTGGCGCCTGGCAGCAGTGACACCAGTGACACCAGCGCCCAGGCGGTGAACTCATGGGGAAAATGCCATCTGGTAAACATTACTGGAAGATTAATATGGTTAAGATTATAGTTAATATGGTTACCAGATGGCATTAATATTACTGGAAGATCAATATGGAACTATGGTAAGATTAATCACTATTAATATGGTTAATACCTATAGTTAATAGTGATTAATAATGATAATCAATGGTTAATAATGATAATCAATGGTTAATAATGATAATCAATGGAAGATGATATGGAAATTCCATTAAAAATGGAGGTTTTTCATAAGGAAATCATCTGTAAATTGGCCATGTTCCATAGCTATGTTAAATAACCAAAGGGGAATATGGTTAATACCTATAGTTAATAGTGATTAATAATGATAATCAATGATTATCAGTTGTGATTAATGGAGATTTAGCCTCTGGTAAACGTACAAAAAGCTATTGAACATTACTGGAAGGTGGCATATATGGTTTGTTAACAAATGATCACCATAAACCCTGGTCATATCACTTACAAGTTAAACTACCCTCTGGTGATTTTCCATCGTCGTGTTAGTTTACCTTAGGGTAAGGAACATCCAATGAAAAATCCCAATTGAAATCCCATGTTTGTATCATGGTAAATCATGAAACACAGGGGACACCCAGAAGCCAAAAGTAAGGAAACCTGGATTAAGTGGGATTCAATTCATCCATAAAGTGGAAATAATGGAAAAAGATGAGGCCAAAACCCAGATGCTACATGGTGCTAGTGCTTGTATACAAAAACCTACATTTGGGTGATAAATTAGGGGCAAATGTTGATATTGATACATATTCCAGCCATGGAGCATATGGGAAATAAGGAAACACACAAACAAACTCTCTTGGATTAAGCTAGCTTAAGTCGGATTGAGTTAGAACAAACATCAAATGTTGACTTCAAGATCCTGGGAAGCCCTCATTTTCTAGGTCTAAAGAGCAAACACTCTCCGGTCATCAAATGTGGCAATTTGAAATCCCCATCAAAAATGAAGGATTCATGACACAATTCCTCTAGAAATGGGGGTATTTTCCGTTGCCATGTTTGATGACACCGGAGGGTATGGATGATTCTCTAGTCTGGCATCTGGTTGTACAATGGTAGTAAACCACCAGATCTCAGAGTGGCGAAGCCAGTTCAAAACAAATGGTGCGCAAATCTAAGTCTTGTTTTTACCCTCTGGGAAACTGACATGACTATGGAAAATCACCATTTCAAGTTGGTAAATCAACTTTAAATGGCAATTGTCAATAGCTATGTTGGTTTACCAGAGGGTACCCATGTTGCTGTGTACTTTGAAATTTTGAGTTTGCCGCCTCAAGCAAGCCCATAGTTCCCACTTTGCCCAGAAATCGCGGTTTCCAAAAGTCCCAACATCGCAATGGGTTTTTGCTCCACAGCTTTGATGGTCAAATTGTGCTTATCCACATTTTTGATGGTTACCCTCTGGTAAACAGCCACATAACTATGGAAAATCACCATTTTTCATGGGAAAACTCACTATTTCTATGGCCATTTTCAATAGCTTAAACCGTATGTTTACCAGGCCGGGTAAATCCGATTTTTCAAGTTAAATCCCCATGTTTGATCTCCATCCATCTCCATCCCAGCCGTGCGCGGTACGTGCCCGGTAGTGCCTTCTTGAATCGGAGCCGTTCCAGACAAGCTCAACCCGGGATCTCCCTCCTGAGGACGATGGTGGCTGTGTACTCAGGATTAAGATGGGTATTGACGGTTTTTCAAGGAAATATGCAACTGTTTTTTCTGTATACTGAAAAATCATCAATCAGATAGGGATACAATTGGGGTGCAATCAACATCAACTAACAAAACAATATCTGGTTGGTGGTTTCAACCCCTCTGAAAAATATTAGTCAATGGGAAAGATTATCACATATAATGATGGAAAATAAAAAATGTTCCAAACCACCAACCAGATATGGCTGTGGGTCAAGTTGTTTACCTGTTGGGACGACTGAAAGACAATCATGGAGGATATTTTTTCGGGCTAAGTTTGACCCATACCATGGAAGCGCTGGCTTGCGCAACTGGGGTCTGATCACATTTCGGCAAGATGTGATGTTGGCCATTCAGAAGAACATCCAAGTAGTCATCGGTGCCAACTTGCTGGGAGTTGCCAGGGATATTTGGGCAATTCTCAATCACAAATCGATCCGATTTGACTCTTCAGTTTCTTTTCTTGTTAGACAATCACAAAAAAAACAATGATTCTATAAGATTGTCCCATTTGCATCCAGCAAAAGTACATTAATTAAATGGGGTACAGTGCAACATATCCATGAAACAGCAGTCAGATGCCACGGATTCACTCTTGATTGGCCTCTATAAATATATGACAAATGTAAAAACCGAAACAACATTTACCAAATCAAATGCTGTTGAAATAATTTACCATCAACCATCACATGGTTTGGTGGCTAAACCACCATTTCCGCTGGTAAGACCACCATGTTCATTGCGTATACCATCATTTTGGATTCCTTGTCACACCCCGATTGCTCATGCTGGAAACGGTCCACCATTCCAATGGTTTTATACTTAAAATCCCACCATTGGAACGCGATGAAATCTCCAACCTGGTTTCAGGGAATCTTGAAACCGAGCCCTACTACCCTCCGGCAATCAAACATGGCTAGCTGGGAATTCCCCATAAAAACGAGCCATCTACACATGGGAAAATTATTGAGCTAAACGAGGATTTCCCAGCTAGCCATGCTTGCTTCCCAAACGGTATATGTTCATCATTCTTTCCAGTATATACCCCATCCTATTGATGGTATTATACCTCATTAATTGAGGTAAGAACAAAGGGATGTTTCTTGCCATCATAAATCCAATTGTAGTAAATGTTTATTTGAAATTGAACACCATTCAAGTGCCATGTTTGATTACCAATGGAAATTAATTAACCCAATTATAGATTATTTTCCCAGCTACAAACCCCCATTTATAGGATATGATATGTTCCATGTCCATTGCAATGTTTGACTACCAAAGGGTCTCCAAATGTCCCTTTGTACGATCGATCGTGGTCGCCTTCACCAGCAACATCTGCTGCTTGAAGGACAGGAAGTCCGTGAGGGAGATCAACAGCTCCAGAACCGCACAATCCTTGGGTGAGTTGAAGCATTTCACCCATGGGAAATGGAGAAATGGGTGGTTTTAAGCCACAAGACATAGAGATATGGTGGTTTTAAGGAACGAAACACGGAGATCTAATTGGTACTTGACAACTGATCAAATCGTGACTCTAAGACGTCCTGATTTTCGCAGAATGTGTTTTGTTCTTGAGGGAAACTCTACAGAAAACGTGTGTTTATGGCTTGTAGACAACACACTGAGCGTCCGAC